TCTTTTCATCTATTGTTCTTGTTTTCCTGACTATGTCAGCCTAATTTTCTTTAATTAATTAGGGCGAGACGGAACCAATGGGTTCTTAAACGCCGTTTACCTTTCTTATGATTTATATTCTTGATTTAAAGTTATGCAATTAATCTGTTTTTAAATTTACAGTCTCGTTTATGATCTGGCCAATCTTGAATGGGCATTAGAATCTTGCATGACAATAAGGATGTAGGTGTTTTGATTCCGATTGATTAATTGCTAGAGTTTGTATGATCTAGGGATAGACTTATAAATTTTATAACTGTATAGTTCTTGCTTTAATGCTTGCTTTATGAAAAAGTACTAACGGATTAGGCTTTTGAGTGAAGTAAAGGATCGGATTACCAAGAGATTGAGATCTAATCAAATATAGAAAGAACTGTTAATAACTTGATATTGAGTGTTAACTATAAGAATAGGTAAATTCGTTAGGAAAATATTGAGGAAGTTGAGTCCTAGTTACGTCTTTTATTAAAACTAAAAACCAATTTCTAGCATTATTAATTCTGAATTAAATTTCTTAAAAATTGAAAACTAAAAATAAGTAGTTTAAAAATTCTGTTTTAATTAAATTAAAATATTCTCAAGGAAATCTTTCACGATCGATCCAACTTTAATTAAATAGATAAATTAGTTATTGGTCATCAGTCATCGTGGGTTCGACAATCTTATTTTACCACTTTATTACTTGTACGACCGGTGCACTTGCCGAAGTCGCAACAGAGTACATAGTTATAATATTAAAGTTATATTTTTCTCTTTTTACACATTAGCCGATAATTTTACGGAGAGAGAGAAAAAAAACTTTACTATTATATCTATGTTTTTTCCAAAATACATAATTACAGTAATATTGTCATACTACTCAATGTGACGGTTGCAATAAAAATATTTCCCACGAGAAGATCCCACTAACAAGATCTAAATCGTGAATAAATAATTCGAACTTTGTTTAACGATGGTAAGAAGAGAGAGAAGATACCTTGTTTGTCATTTCATCTTAATTAGGTTTAGAGATTAACAGTGGCGGAGCCAGCTCCAACTGGAACCCGGGTCAAAATATTATGTGTATTTATTTTTCTTAATTTTAGTTAATTCATATTATAATATATTTAAATTATATTAAATACTAGACACCTGAGTAGGAAACATAAAAAAGAGTTATAATTTTATTAAATATATTTTGATTTTTTTAAATAAATGGAAATGGAACAAATAACTTAATACAACTTACCCAAATCTCTTACCAAATATATTTTAATATTTTGATATGGCCAAATTATAAATTTTAGCCTGGGCCAAATTACAATTTTAAACTAGATCAAATTATATTTAATTATATAATTATACATGATAAATACAATTTATTAAAATTTAGCTCGGGAAGTCACCCCACAGACCAAGTGGCTCCGCCACTGGAGATTAAGTAACTGTCTAAATATTATCGGTAAAATGTCAAGAATTAATCATTTCCTATGTATCTCGACCAGTGCTCCCTCATACCTATATCCGTTAATAAAAGGGAAAATCTCATAAGTTTCCTCAAAAGCATTTACCCCTTCCCTAAAATTTTTAATCATTTATTTCCATACTTAAATTTTTTTATCACTTACCGCTCTAAATTGATTTTCTATCTAAAATTTTGTTAACAGAGTTAAATTTTTAAAAAAATACCAAAACTACCCGTAATAAAAACAAAAAGTGTAACCTCTTACGCATCTATCTGCACATAAAATTGGAGAACAAGACATTGCTTGTGAATCTATAAAAAGTGTTGGGCATATTGAATCTTTTAGAACTCCAACTTCATGGAAATCTTTCCAAGTCCAAGTTCATACTTTATTCTTGGAAACCATACGATGATTACAGGAAAGTTGTACGTGGGTACTTAAGCATTTCTCGAGAATACGATGATAATGTCAAGAGTATAAAGTAGATGCTCAGTTTAACAATAAATTATGCACTATATAAAGAGTAGTGTTATAAGCACCACCCCATCTGAAATGGCGCTCCTGCTCCTATTACCATAGGCACAAGGCGCACAATTGGATCTCTAGTGAGGAATGAAATTGAATACTTCACCAAGTTTGAGTTAGACAAACGAGGAAGTTCACAGAAACCTCAACAACACTTTGTGGACATGGACATGGTTTCTTTTGGCAAAAGCTATTCCTTTTCCAGGTCCAGTTTCTGGTCCTTGCTTAAAATCAATGTTCTACAACATATTTGAAACCAATGCAACCCGTTGAAGATATGGTGGGAGCCAATGTACCTAAACCAATGCAACCAGTGTTGATAGATGTGTAAGAGCCGTTACACGTTTTTATGTTTTTTTTTATTAAGGGTGGTTTTGGTATTTTTTAAAAAAAATTAAATCTATTAACAAAATTTTAAATGTAAAATCAAATTCGGGGGATAAGTGATAAAAAAAATTTAAGTTGGAGGCTAAATGATTAAAAATTTCGGGAGGAGGATAAGTGATTTTGAAGAAACTTGTAGTTTTTTTTTTTTTTGAAGTTTTCCCTTAATAAAAATTTAGGGGAAAATGTGTATTACCTTAAAGGACACAAAATTATATCATTTTAGGTGAGAGAAAGAGATAAATTACGGGAGAGAGTGTGAGGGAAATTTTTTTTAAAGATGTGAATCTCACCTCTTAAGAATAAAATGATGTATTTCCTATATAGAGAAATGATGTTATCAAAAAAAAAAAAAAAAATGATGTAAGGTGTGTCATTCCAAATGACACACTTTTTCCCAAAAATATAACATATGTGCGGATATATTTCCTATATAGAGAAAGTAACCCTTCAATATTATCCTTTTATATTTCTAAAAATATATAATCTGTAACTTTAATTTGAATAAAAATAATATTCGCTATTCTATATGATAGAAGTATTAAAAGTGCTCTCTTCAACAACACATATATAAATTAGTAATTTTGAATCCTTTATCTTAATATACTGTTTCATTAAATTAATATTATTTACAATTTGAGAATAAAATTTAAAAATGATTTCTTCTGAAACCAAATTGCAAGTTACAATGTTTAATCATATATATATATATATATAAACAATCAAGTATCTCATTAACAAGTGAATATTCAGAAGTCCCAGGACACGTGGGATCTAAAAGAAGAGAAATCTTTCGCTAAAATATTAATTATTTATTAAAAAAGTACAGAATACAGCTAATTTGAATTCTATACATGCCCTAAATAAAGCATATAGTAGTTCTTTCATTAGATCGCGTGTTATATTTTTTATTTTTTTATACTCGTACAGACTTAGAGGTGACATAGAAAACGGTTGCAATCATTTTATTTTATTTTAGTTTAAATTATATTCTCATTCTTATCAATTGATTCCATTTAGATTTAATGATTCTAATTTTTAATAATATGAATCAATAATCTAGATTGAGTGTAATATTTCATATTCTTACAACGATGTAAGAATATTCTATCCTAAAAAAAATATAAATAATTATTTTACGGTGGTATTTCCGAAAATCACAAAGCTTGACACTGAAATTTTTTTAATTAAAAATTATTACTTTTTTAAAATATTATTATACATAAATTAGGAAATTTTAAAATTATATTTTAAGTACATTTATTTAATTAAATTACCTTTTATTAAAATATTATTAACTTATCGATTTTTATTAAAATTTTCAAATAACAGATAAAAACAATTTTTTTTATTTTTTTTTAAAGTAACAACGGAATTTTGTCATCAGAACGGAGAATATGCTCGAGTTGACAATACATCAATGTTCTAGAAGGCAAAAAAAAAAAGGGACAATAGCATCAATGTATTATCCTTTATACGCCACATGGCTATCCTTCCTGCTTTAACGCGTTGATTAAATAAGTGCAACATGCCTCCCAATCTCCCACGCGAGCACGTTCTACTGTATTTTATTGTTAAGACCGGTTAACACGCGACCACCTTTATTTTCTTTTGAGTAAATGTCTTTTTTGGTCTTCGACAAATTTCAAATTTCACGATGCTCGTTTTAATCTCTAACAAATAAAAAGGCCCATCATGGTTCCTAAGAAATTTAAAATGGACTCGTTTAGTTAAGATCGTGGTCCCTCACAAATTCAAAAAAGACTCATATTAGTCCCTAAAAGAACTAAAATGGGTCCATTTTTAAATTTTTTAGTAACCACGATGGACTTTTTTATTTGTTAAGGACTAAAGCGGATATAATGAAATTTGCTGGGGACCAGAACAGATATTTACTCTTTCCTTTTTTGTTTTAGGTATGACTTTTCTCATTATTATAACCATATTTTTAATCTTATAATTAAAGCTGAACTAAAATAATATAAGCCAGATCATTTCTCGGAATGCCCAATGCCCCCCAATAATTCAACCAAAAAAAAGGTAATATAATCCAATTCAACAGTTATTGATAAATTACAAAGATTTTTAATTGACCAATTACTTATAAACAAAAAATAGTACATGACAAAAGACATAAGATCAACTTGGAATATTAAGAGAGCCTCTTAATTGGGATAAAATATAAGAATTTAATCTGACCGTAGTGTTTATAATTAAAAAATTTATAAGAACAAATCTAAAATAACGCACAACTTATAAGAGTTTAGACAGGTGGTTACGCATCTAATTTTATAGGGTAATAATTTTTTATACAATAGGAGAAAATTAGTATATTCGATAGATTCATGTGTGTAAGTGGAATATATATTTACTGTCAAGTGGAGACCGAAAAAATGTAGAGTGAGAGTCATCTTAAATTTACGTGTGTAAGAGATTATTTATTTTTTATCCAACATAAGAATAATAAAATTCAATTTTATATAAATATTAAAATTTTAATTTAACCACAGAAAAAGTTTTTGTCTATATAATAACCTCAGAGAAGTGCCCCTCTCGCTCCCTGCAACCAACGCAGTGACTCGCTCACTTCTCATGAAAGACACTAACATGGTTGGAGTTGGAGCTCATGTGGTCGTTCTACCATGTCCAGGGATGGGTCACGTGATACCTATGTTGGAGCTCGCCAAGCGCCTAGTACTCCATCACGCCTGTCACGTGACCTTTCTCCACATCACTACCGAAGCTTCTGCCACCCAATTTCGCCTTCTTCACTGCCCAAATCTCCCTAAAGGTCTCCAAGTGGTGGATCTCCCACCCGCCGATCTCTCCGCCGTCATCTCCGACGACACTCCGGTGCTCTCCCACCTCTGCATCAACGTTCGAGAAAGCCTCCGCTGCCTGAAATCCACTCTCATGGAACTCGAGAAGCCCCAATTCCTAATCACCGGAGTATTTTGCTCCCAAGCGTTTGATATCTGCAAGGAACTTTCCATCCCCGCGTACATCCTGTACACGACATCCGCAACCTTTCTTGCCTTCTCTTTGTTGTTTCGAAAGCTTGACGGCGATGTCTCCGGCAAGTTTCTCGACCTTCCCGGTTGCGCACCGCTCAGAACAGAGGACCTACCGCTACCGACCGACGGGGACGAGAAATGGTTTTCCTATCACCTTTGTCGGTTCCCAATGGCTAGTGGGATTTTCATTAATACTTATGAGGATCTCGAACCGGTTCAAATACGTGCCATCCGTGAGAATCCCTTCTATCAACAAATACCAACGCCACCGGTTTATCCAATTGGACCGCTCGTCAAACAAACCGAACCGGTAACCAAAACTGGAGAAGAATGTCTGGCTTGGCTTGACAAGCAACCTTCGGGGTCTGTTCTGTTTGTGGCACTCGGCAGCGGGGGAAATTTGTGTGTGGAGCAGCTCACTGAGTTAGCGTGGGGTCTTGAACTAAGTCAGCAACGATTCTTATGGGTGGTGCGTACCCCAGCTAATACGAGTGGAATGAACACTTATTTCAAGATTGGTGCAGACATGAACGACCCCAAATCATATCTGCCAGAAGATTTTACGGAGAGAACTAGAGACTTAGGTATGGTGGTGCCATCGTGGGCCCCGCAGGTGTTAGTGCTGCGGCACCACTCCACTGGCGCGTTTCTATCTCATTGCGGCTGGAACTCCGTGTTGGAAAGCGTGAGTCATGGTGTGCCCATGATTACGTGGCCTCTTTACGGCGACCAGAGGGTGACTGCGACACTGCTGGCGGAGGATATGGGTGTGGGAATCAAGCCGACAGTGGAGGCAGGGAGGAGGGTGATTGGAAGGAAGGAGATTGAGAGAGTGGTGAGGGCTGTGATGGAAGGTGAAGAAGGGAAGGCCATGAGAGACAGGGCCAAAGTCCTCAAAGAAACTGCTTCCAAAGCTTTGGATAGTGGTGGATCAAGTTTTCAAACACTTGCTGGCGTGGTTAACCACCGGAAGACCATGGGTTAAAAGATTTTGTAATTATCATTGTGAGAACAAACTAGTTTCATCTCCCTTCAAAACTTAATAATGGTTACAATATGTATTTGCTTATGCAGTTATGCTAAAAATGAATTTATCTCTTATTCTAAAAAAATCATTGATCTGGTTCTTTTACTGTTGTGCCCTATTAAATTAAAAATTAACACTATGACCACGAGTTACAATATTTTACTTATTTCCCCCTATTTGATTATTGATCGAGTTATGTACTTGAGTACAAGGGTTGATACTCGAGTATTTTTCGCAAAACAATATATACTCAAGTATATTGGTTGAGTACTCGAGTATTGTTCTTTATTTGAGTTTTTTTCTAGCATTATGTACTCAAGTACATGGATGGGGTACTTTAGTATTCTTTGCAAGTTGGGTTTTTTATTAAACCCTCGTGTCACACATCCCTAACCATTGACTGGGCCAAATAACCTATTATAACATCCACATAATCGATTACATCAGCATACATTAATCGATTATAGAAGTGAATTGAGCCATATAACTTTTTTTATCATGAGATTTTTTGGATCGACCAAACAAGTTTCTATGATCATATGCTCATAATATTTGACTTGACTCTTGAGAAAGGGCTTTGTGCGTATCACAAGGCCTATTTGTGTTACAAAATTTCTAAAATTTTATCATAAAATTTTGGAAGGCCATAACTTTTGATTCGGGTATCCGAATTAGATTCTTTATTTTTAATCCACCTAACTTTTCGAGAGCAATGCATTGGCAATCCCTTGGTCAAATTTTTTTTTCCCAAAAAAAGCTTTTTTGTGCTCCATTTGACATATTTTATCTTTGTGAATGATGTTATTTGAATTGTTACTTTCCAACATTAACAAATAATTCGTTGAGAATTTTTCAACATGTAGATCTCAAAAAGTTACGTGAGAAAAAAAAATTACCCAATTCGAACCCTCGAACAAAAAATTATGGTTTTCCAAAATTGTATGATAAAAACCCATGATACTCAAGTACATGACCCTAATACTCGAGCAATTGGTGTCATGTACTCGAGTATCAGGGTGACCTACTCGAGTATAAACGCATGACGTGTGATTTACTCGAGTATGTTAGTTACGTACTCGAGTACGAGGGCTAGTTAATGATCAAACAGAGACAGATTGATGTTATGTTTTGGAAAAATATCATACATTATTTAAATAGTTTAAAAATGGGGACATAGTGATAATTTTTTTAATTAAGGGCACAATGGTAAAAAAAGCCTCACTAATCTACTTATTTTTTAAAATATTTCTTAATTAATAATATGAGTAAAAAAATTAATAATAATTAAATAAGTTGTTCGGTAGGCAACTGCACTGTTGTTCCCGGTAAATTGATTATGTTTCATTGCTTTGTGAAATGGTGGTTGTTTGGCGGAGGATATTGGTTTACCACGGTTCAGCGTGGCCTCAGATGTTCACGACAATTTCCCTACTATCTGCACTAAACCCTCATTAAATGATTCAAACTTTGCGGAAAGTGAAGATACCTACCCGATTTACGTCATTTTCAGTCAATTTTTTTTTTTTAAATGCATCTCAGTCAATTTTATGGAACCATCTTCACCGTTATCATTTGAATAGTTCAAAGGGTATACAAGTATCAATTTTTTTTTTGATAACATTAAGGGACGAAGCCCCGTACAAATATCATTAGTATATTCATCAACCTATCCAAAAATCAAAGGGTATACACTTGAAAAAAAAATTAAATTAAATAATAATTAAATGATCAAATTAAAGAAATTAGATTAGATAATTTTTATTTTAAAATCGATCCAATTCAAAATACAAACACCCTTGTTGTTAAAATATATAAAAAGCTTTATTCATGTACGTAAGCCGTAACAATACTACTGCTAATTAAATGGTTTGATGGAAAGTTCATATTGGTGTGCAATAAAAATTAATAAATAAAGGAATTAGTATTTTGTGTAGATGATAATTTTATTTCATACACTGATATGGGCCCAAGTGACCCTAGCCCAGATAAAATGGGCAACAACCCAACCCAAAATGCACAACTGACACATGGAAGTCAATTGGTACTTTCTGAGTCAAGTTCTAAAGAACTCTCAGAAGGCCTGTTGAATCTGAATGAAGAAGGAGAATGAGATTCAAGGATGCATGCTGATACAAGAGTTCAAGATGGATCAGTGGAGCTGGAAGCTAGACAGCCCATAGCAGAAAGGAGACCCAGAAGAGTTGTAAGGAAACCAAATCGATTCAATGATGAAGAATTTGTATGTAAGTAGGAATAACTTGATTGTTGTTTGTTGTACTGATTTTACGAATTGCTTGTAGATAATACAGTTACAAGAAGTTGTAACTAGCTTGTTCCCTCTGAATATAAATAGAGGAACAAAGGTTGTAGCTCGGCAGAAAAATAGTGAATAAAAATTACTTGATTCTTCTCTCATCTCTTTCCCTGTTCGTATTCTCTCTCATCTCTTCATCCCTATTCTACGGTAGAACTGTGATTCTATCAACTGGTGCTTTTATTCCTGAACATGGCACCCGACAACCGTGTTCGAACTCTCGACGATAGGGTTGATCAAACCCAATCTGAAATCGACAACCTCAAGAGTCAGATGAACAAACAATTCCTGGAGATCACATGCAAGCTCGATGCGATCTTCGACAACTACAGAGAACATCAACCATCAACCGCTTCTTCTGGTAGCAACCACAACCTGGGTCCCAAGGATTTTCCTGCAACAAAGAACCTGTGTCTCAAGGTTTCGAAGTTTGATGGTTCTTCAGACCCACAAGATTGGATTTATCAGATAAGTCAATTTTTTGAATACTATGACATTGTTGATGAGCAACGACTGAAGATAGCCCCATTCTATTTCTCAGGGAAAGCTTTAGCTTGGTATCGTTGGTTGAACAAGAACACAACCATAGGATCGTGGGAAGGATTTCTACAATCTCTTCAAGTGTGTTTTGGACCTTCTGAGCTCGAAGACTATCAAGGGAAATTGGCTAAGCTAATGCAACTGGGTTCTGTCATGGAGTATCAAGCCTAATTCGAATCTCTCTCTAACAAGGTAAATGGGTTACCTGAATCCTTCTTATTGAGTTGCTTTATCTCAGGCTTAAAACCTCAAATTCAGTATGAGGTTTCCTCTTTTGATCCCCCTACCCTAACCAAAGCCATAGCTCTAGCCAAGATTCAGGAGCTTAAGCTCCAAACCAAACACACTCATCCTAAAATTCACTCTCCCTACCCCCCTTTATTACCTACACCAAACACTCAGACTAAACAATTCAAACCAATACCCAGTGGTGACACCACTATTTCTACCAAAAGTCCTCTTAATCGTTTGACCCAGAGTGAAATCCAAGAGAGGAAAGACAAGAAACTGTGTTTCTATTGTGGTGATAAATACTTCATGGGCCATAAATGCACAGCTTCTATTCATGTTTTAATTGTACCGGATGATGAGCAACTTGACCCTGAGGATATTGACTCTATGAATGTAACGCTCAGCCGCTTCAAGAATCAATGACTATCCCCACATACTAACACGAGACTTTTCAGTGTGCTTTTTCCTATCTCGCACACTTCCCGGGAAAACTTCCCAGGAGGTCACTCATCCCAGAATTGCTCCAAGTCAAGCACGCTTAACTGTGGAGTTCTTTCGTTCTGGGCTAACGAAAAGCAGATGCATCTTGTTAGCATAGGTAGTACCAATTAATTCTTATAAGCTATCCCAAACTATGCAGTCTCACACCTGCACAACCTTTGGAATTCCTCTCTTTCGGGTGTCGATTCGATTCATTCATGCATGTAACCCCCCGCTGGAAGGCTGTCAGGAGCCGCTCCTTGTCCGTGCCTCTTTGCACCGGCGATCACTCCCCGCCCTCGTCAGCGCTCGGGATGTTACAATGAACACACCACAAGAAACCACAGATGAACCTGACCCTACACCTCAGATCAGCCTTCATGCCTTATCTGGCTTTAGTGTACCTCAAACTCTTCGCTTCAATTGCCATATTGGCAAGTCTGAATTATCCTTATTGGTTGATGGGGGAAGCACCCACAACTTTGTCCAACCAAGAGTGGTTTCTACCCTTCGTTTACCACTGGTGACTGACAAGCAGTTTGATGTCATGGTGGGAAATGGACAAACAATGAAGTGTGAGGGATTTTGTCCAGCTGTTCCAGTTCAGATTCAAAAGCATGTTTTTCTGGTTGATTTTTATATCTTGCCTATTCAAGGGGCAGATATGGTGTTAGGAGTTCAACGGTTGCAGATTTTGGGACCTATAGTGTTGGATTACACTCACCTTACAATGCAATTTTCTTGGCAAGGAGAGACAATTAAATTGCAAGGTGATAAACACATTGGTCCTATTTCTTTGAACCAATTCAGAAAAATCCAACATACAGGCCAGATTGCATCACTCTACCAACTCGCTTTGTTGAGTTCTAGTTCTCCTCAAGAAGAGCCAGCTATCGCTCCTCCTGTCCAGAACTTGCTGGAAGAGTTTGACACCATCTTCCAAGAGCCACATGAGTTACCTCCTCATAGGCAATTGGATCATGAAATCCATTTAGAGCCTAACTCAGCTCCGGTCAATGTTAGACCGTATAGATATCCTCATTTCCAAAAGGGAGAAATAGAAAGGCAGGTTCAACAGTTGCTTGAATCTGGGTTCATTAGGAACAGTACCAGCCCATTTTTATCTCCAGTTTTGCTGGTTAAGAAGAAGGATGGTACATGGAGGTTTTGCATCGATTATAGAGCTCTCAATAATATCACAATCCGTGATAGATTTCCCATACCCACTGCAGATGAGTTAATGGATGAACTAGGTGGTTCTCAGATATTTTCTAAGTTGGATTTGAGGGCAGGATACCACCAGCTGCGAGTACACCCAGCTGACATACAGAAGACAACTTTTAGGACTCATCAAGGTCATTATGAGTTCCTTGTGATGCCATTTGGGTTGACCAACGCACCTGCCACCTTCCAAGCTACTATGAACTTAATTCTCCAACCTTTTCTTCGTAAGTTTGTGGTTGTATTTTTTGATGATATTTTAATTTACAGCTCTTCATTAGAACAACATTTAGAGCATTTGAAATTGGTGCTGACTTGATTGAAAGAAAATCAGTTTTTGGTGAAAAGGAGTAAGTGTGCATTTGCCCAAACAGAGGTTGAATATTTAGGCCATGTAGTGTCAGTGCAAGGAGTTAGTATGGATTCTAACAAGGTACAAGCTATGGTAGATTGGCCACCTCCAAAAAATATTAAACAACTCAGAGGATTTTTGGGCCTCACCGGGTATTATAGGCGTTTTGTGTGCAACTATGCATCAATAGCTGCCCCATTAACAGACTTACTGAAGACTAACTCTTTTGTCTGGTCCAATAAAGCTCATACAACTTTTATTAGTCTCAAAACAGCCATGACTTCTGCCCCTGTCTTGAGTTTACCGAATTTTTCTATGGAGTTTATAGTAGAAACTGATGCTTCAGATTTGGGAATTGGGGCTGTCCTTCTCCAAAGTGAACATCCCATTGCCTATTTCAGCAAGAAGTTATCATTGAGAATGCAAAAGAGCTCAGCCTATGTGAGGGAGTTGTATGCCATCACTGAATCTGTCAAGAAATGGAGGCAATATCTCTTGGGGCGGATATTCACTATAAGGACAGATCAAAAGAGCTTAAGGAGCTTGCTGGATCAGGTTATTCAGACACCTGAACCGCAATATTATTTAGCCAAGCTTTTGGGATTTCAATATTCCATAGTTTACAAACCGGGTAAGGAAAACAGGGTGGCTGATGCCCTTTCTAGGTACCCTACTATGTCTTTAATGACTCTGGCAGTAGTGCATTTTGATATTCTAGAAGATTTTAAAAAAAGAAAATCAGCACAGGCCATTTTTTCAGCAATTACATCAGAAGCTAGTTGCTGAACCAGAACTCTGTTCTGATTATGAGGTTCGGGAAGGTCTGTTATTGCACAAAGGCAAGCTTCTCTTGGATCCAACTTTTCCCTTGATCCCACAAGTGCTTCAGGAAAATCACTCCACTTTAACTAGTGGCCATACAGGTATTCAGAAAACTTTGTCCAGTACCACTGCAAGTTTTATATGGCCTGGAATGTCCAAATCTGTTAAGGAGTTTGTTAACTCTTGTCTGACTTGTCAACAAATGAAATACCAAACTCGAAGCCTTGCTGGTCTTTTACAGCCTATACCTGTACCTGAACAAATTTGGGAAGATCTCTCCCTTGATTTCATAGTTGGCTTACCACTGTCACATGGCTATACTTCAATCCTAGTGGTTGTGGACAGGCTGTCCAAGCAAGCTCACTTTGGTGCTCTACCAAAGAGGTACTCAACAACTAAGGTAGTTGATCTTTTCACTCATATGATTTGTAAACTGCATGGTATTCCTAGATCCTTAATTTCAGATAGAGATCCTATCTTTCTCAGTAGATTCTGGACAGAATTATTTGAACTCAGTGGCACTAATTTGAGAAGAACAACAACCTACCATCCTCAATCAGATGGTAAGTCAGAAGTAGTCAACAGGGTCCTAGAACAGTACCTCAGGTGCTTTGTAGCAAATAACCCCAAAAAATGGTCTAATATCTTGCATTGGGCTGAATATTGCTACAACACTTCCTACCATACTTCAGCTGGCATGACACCTTTTAAGGTGGTATATGGCTGTGATCCTCCATCCATTCTGCACTATATATCCTCTACTGCTGAATTAGAAGATGTGGATAAATGGTTGGAAAATTGGCAGATTATTCTGTTTCAATTGAAGGAGAACTTGCTTCATTCTCAGCAAGTCATGCGAGATCAAGCTAACAAACATCGCAGGGATGTCCAATATAAAGCTGGAGACTTAGTATGGGTATGGCTGCAACCATATAGACAAGTTTCAGTAGCCAACAGGACCTCCAATAAGCTGTCCAAAAGGTATTTTGGACCATTTCCAATTCTGAAACGTGTAGGTAGGGTGGCATATAAGTTGAGTTTACCACTTATTGCCAAGATACACCATACATTCCATGTATCCTTACTTAAGCCATTTAAGGGTGAACAGCCTATTTCCCCATTACCACTGCCAGAAATTTTTCAAGGTGGACTACCTATTTTAGAGCCTCAACAAATTCTGTCTACTCACATACAGCAAACAGGGGATTCTCACATTAAACAGGTGCAAGTACTGTGGGCAGGCATGCTAGGTGAATGTGTCACATGGGAACCTTGGGAGGAGTTTTCCAAGCAGTTTCCATCCTTCAACCTTGAGGACAAGGTTGATTTTAATAGGGGAGGTGTTTATATGGGCCCAAGTGACCCAAGGCCCAGATAAAATGGGCAACAACCCAACCCAAAATGCACAACCAACAGATGGAAGTCAATTGGTACTTTCTGAGTCAAGTTCTAGAGAACTCTCAGAAGACCTGTTAAATCTGAATGGAGAAGGAGAAGGAGATTCAAGGATGCATGCTGATACAAGAGTTCAAGATGTATCAGTGGAGCTGGAAGCTAGACAGCCCATAGCAGAAAGGAGACCCAGAAGAGTTGTAAGGAAACCAAATCGATTCAATGATGAAGAATTTGTATGTAAGTAGGAATAGCTTGATTGTTGTTTGCTGTACTGATTTTACGAATTGCTTGTAGATAATACAGTTACAAGAAGTTGTAACTAACTTGTTCCCTCTAAATATAAATAGAGGAACAAAGATTGTAGCTCGGCAAAAAAATAGTGAATAAAAATTACTTGATTCTTCTCTCATCTCTTTCCCTATTGTCTCTCATCTCTTCATCCCTATTCTACGGTGGAACTATGATTCTATCATACACACACATAAAATATGTAAATCTCATATTTTTTTTTCTTTTATATTTTTATGTACGTATAAAAAATAAAATTATCTCTATATCATGAGAAATATTAATCTCATTAATAAATAAATGATAACATTAATTTGTGTAGAGTTGAGTAGGTAAAATGTAAATGAAAACATTTTTTTAGAGTTGACTATGTAAATTAATGGAGGCGGGTGCAAACTAAACGGACATCACCTGAATGCAATAAAACATGTAAAAAAAGACTCTATTCTATAAACTATAAATGGGATAGAAACTTGAGCAAGATAAAAAAAATAAATGTCTAAGAAATATACCTTGAAAATAATTATTTATGCCACTCAAAATTGGTAGATTTAATCAAATCTACGTATCTAATATAATTTAAAAAAATGGTTATTACTTCAAAATCTTAGAATGTTGTTATCTGAAACAGAAATGGAGGGCACATACATGAATTCGTCGACCACATTGGGCGAGGAGGCCAAACTTCACACGAATCAAGCTTCGTCACAGACGAGAAAGAAAATATACTCAAATAATCTCATTCGAGAATCGAATCTCATTACCTGTTATTTTATTTTTCAAATCATAGAATGTTACATTAGAAGTGTGCATGACAACTATTTTATTTCCTAACATTGTTTCTGAAAAAAATTAATTCTTTTCTATTTCTGTGCCTTGAAGCAGTTGTCATGCGCACCCTAAATAACTGAGAAAAGAGGGAAAATGGCAAAAAAACGGAGAGAGAAAGCCAAAAACGAAACTTCAATCTTATTCAACTAAACTCTTTCTGATTACACAACTTCCATTTGTACTATTAATTTGTGGTGCTTTAGGTCTCACGTGATCCTTTCATTCATAAGGTGCTATTTGAACAGAAAATTATTTTTTATTTCTGCTCTTTTCTTATTAGTTGTATAATACTATAATTTTAATTGATCTGGACTACCAAGTTAATTGTAATAGGTGTCAGCTTAAAAAAAAAAAAAAAAGAGAGTAATAGGTGTCAATCCCTCCTGTTTTAAACGAGGCAACTGAATAAAAGACACATCGCATGCCTCCCACGCGAACCCCGTGTCTGTATTTTTATTGTTGTAACACTCGACCACCTTCTTCTTTTTTTGTTACAATTTTTTTGTAATTGTACATATATCTATTATTATTTTTACATTACTCTTATTTAAATAAAAACAAAAATACATATTTTAACTCGTATTTTATTTTTCACAAATAAAAATAAATATTATGTAAATTTTCAATGTACAGATATCAACTTTTTTTTAATTAACCATGATAAAAATTTGTCTCTATATATAAGAACCTATTATGCAAGAACTCATTCGCTCACCTTTCATTACACATACAACAACCATGGTGGGGAACGTTGTGCCTGAAATCCCGAAGCCTCACGTGGTCGTTCTCCCAAGTCCAGGAATGGGTCACGTGATACCCATGTTGGAGCTGGCCAAGCGCCTCGTCCTCCACCATGCCTGTCATGTGACTTTCATTCACATCACCACTGAAGCTTCTGCCACCGAAACTCACCTGCTTCACTCCTCCAAACACCTCCCTCTTGGCCTCAATGTCATCGATCTCCCAACCGCTGATATCTCAGCCGTAATCTCCGACGACACTCCAACGTTCTCCCGCCTATGCATCAACATACGGGAAAACCTCTCCTTCTTGAAATCAACTCTCACGAAACTCCAAAATCCTCAATCTTTAATCACTGACATGTTTTGCACCCAAGCGTTTGATATCTGCAGGGAACTTTCTATACCTGCATACATTCTATGCACTACCTCCGCCGTCTTTCTTGCAGCCTCGTTGTTCTGTTTAGAGATTGATTGTGACGTTTCTAGCGAGTTTCTTCACCTTCCGGGTTGCGCACCGCTCAGAACCGAGGATTTGCCGTTCACCAACGATGGCGACTTTGAATGGCATTCTTATCACATTTGTCGAATGCCAATGGCTGCTGGTATTTTCGTTAATACGTGGGAGGATCTTGAACCTATTCCGGTTCGAGCTATTCGAGAACATCCTTTCTACCAGCGGATTCGCACGCCGCCGGTTTACTCAATTGGACCGCTTGTGAAAGAAACCGAACCGGTAACCAAAACCGGAGAAGAATGTTTGGCTTGGCTTGACAAGCAACCTTCGGGATCTGTTCTGTTTGTGGCACTCGGCAGCGGGGGAAATCTGTGTATGGAACAGCTCACTGAGTTAGCATGGGGTCTTGAACTGAGTCAACAACGATTCTTATGGGTGGTGCGTACACCAACCGATGTTAGTAAGATTGGTGCAAACGTGAACGACCCCAAATCATATCTGCCAGAAGGGTTTATGGAGAGAACTAAAGAGTTGGGGATGGTGGTGCCGTCGTGGGCTCCACAGGTGTTGGTGCTGCGTCACCATTCTACTGGGGTGTTTCTATCTCACTGTGGCTGGAACTCTGTGTTGGAGAGCGTGAGTCATGGAGTGCCTATGATAACATGGCCACTTTACTCCGACCAGAGGGTGAACGCAACATTAATGGCGGAGGATATTGGTGTGGCTATCAAGCTAGCGGGGGAGCCAGGGAGGAAGGTGATCGGAAGGAAGGAGATTGAAAGAGTGGTGAGGGCTGCAATGGAAGGTGAAGAAGGGAAGATGATGAGAGGCAAGGTCAAAAACATTAAAATAAGTGCATCCAAAGCATTGGATGGTGGTGCTGGTGCGTCATGTTTTGAAACACTTGCTGACATAGTTGACCAGTGGAAGACCATGGGTTAAAAGATTTTGTCATTATCATTGTGACATCAAGTTAGCGTCATCTTCCTTAAAAATTTAATGATGGTTGCAACTTGTTTTTCCTTATGCTAAAAATAAATTCTTCACTTATTGTAAGAGTGATCACGAATATGCTTAGTTTTTAAAATAATTATTTAATTAACAATAAAAATAAAAAAGTTAGATGTAATAAATAAATTGTTTTAAAAAAGACAAAAAAAAATCTTAAAACATTATTTTAGTATTTTTCTTAAAATATGGAAATAATACTTTTTTATAAATAAAAATTTAAAAAAAAAAAACGACGAATGTACTTTTTTAAAACCATACGCCAATTGCTTCCTCATACCTCATCTTGCTTTTTTAATTATACTTGCACAGAACAGAGGTGGTGACCGAGAAAATGTAGATAATTATTTTAGGATAGTACTATCCCGGAAATCCCCAGCGCTGCTAATTAATTTTTTTTTAAAATTATACCTTGCATGTTTTTGTGTTTAAATATTGTTATACATAACTTAAGAAAATTATTAAAATATAATAAAAATGTAATTTATTTAATTAAACTACCTTTTATTTATTTTTTATTCATTTATAAATTTTTTACTTGTTAATATATTCAAGATAAAATTAAAAAATACTAATAATTTATTACTTTTTTAAAATAAAAGATAAAAAATAACTTTTTGAAAAAGTAAATAAATAAATAAGAAACAAAGGAGGAACATTTAATGATTCTGAAGGCCGCATTGTGTCACTAGAACGAGAATGTGCTCGGGCTGACAATAACATTAATGCATTATCCTTTGTTTAATCCCTCGTGCTTTAACGGCTCAACTAAATAAGGGCGCACATGCATGATGCATCCCACGGCACCGCCATGACTCGGATCTGGATTTGTTTATGTTAAAAAACACATGATACACTCAAGAGGAATTATAATCATATAAAATTAATTAATTATAATAAAAAAAAGAGAAAAAATATATTAAAATAAGTAGTTACAAAATCGTAATCATATATTTACCTTTATATAATAATAATTTTTCTATATGATCATGTCATATTTTTTTTATTTTTTTTACATGAGATGATCTAGTTTCCTGTATTTTATATTTTTTTTATAAGCTGAATTTTATTACTTTTATAGTTGAGACCAGGGGTGAAAGTTGGGCTGAGCCAAATTTTGTCCCGAAAAATCCAAGCTTACACAAATTTTTTTAAATTGGTCTGACTCAAGCTTAGCACGAGTCTAACTGTTAGCCTGATTTGACTTGTTTATAAAAAAATAAATGGTCTGGCTTAGCTTGTTAATGTGTGACTTCCAAGCAGAATCATGAATCAACTTTACAAAATACTCATATTCTATTGCTAAACCAAAAATCATAATTTCAACGTCCAAACAGAATCATGAATCACAACAAAACTCATCACAATCTGCATTTAAGTCACTTTCAAAAGTAAAATGCGCAAACTAAATAACATGTATTTCATCTGATCCAACAAATAAATCCATACTATGTAAATTTAAATAACTCCATGAATCCAACAATCAGATCATGATGCTTGTAGTAAGTATAACATCTCCCAAAAATCTTTTAATATATTCATATACACAATCTAACATGTTGAGATGTCGGTTTCTCTTACAAAAGAAATAAATTCAGATTTCTATTAAAATATAATCGAATATAATTAAGTTATAAATAATTGCAATTGGTTAAATTTATATCTTTTGTTTTTTCTTCAAGGAATACTTATTCTATTTTATTTTATTTAAAATAAATAGTACAATATAGGTCGGCCTGTAAGCTTATAGGCCAGACCTTGTGAAAGTGGGCATACGACCTATTTATTAAACAAGTTTTTTCAAGGCTCAAACCCGACCTATTTTATGAAATGTATACTAGGTCAAGTCTGGCCTGACGTAGGCCGAACCGTATGCCCCTATAAACCGGTCTAACTCAATTTCACCCCTAGTTGAGACGAGTTAACACCGGACCAATTTTTTTATTTTTACAAATTGTCTCATTCTTTTAACTATTTTTAATCTTATAATTAAAGTTTTATTAAATTACTAATAGACAATTCAATAGTAATTGATAGATTACAATTTCAAATGGTTTTTACCTAATCAATTACTTGTAAACAAAAAAGTAGTAAAGGAGAAAAGACAAAAGTTGAACTTGATAAATAGTAATAGAGATAGTAATAGATAAATTAATAACCTCGTGTTTTTTTTAATATGATTATATCACAAGGTGGGATACTATATAAGAACGGAATATTATAGTAATGTTTATAATAGCAAAAACTTATGTAAAAACGTAAAATAACTTAAAAGCCCTTTTTTTAAAAAAAATTGTTTGTTTACGTAAAAGTATTTTCATTTTAAAAAAAGTATTTGGACTTAAATTTAAAATAAGGGATAAATATTTATTATTTTAAAAGACACAAGATTGTGTGATTTTAAGTAAAATTATTGTGTTTGGATGATTTTTACTTTCTCTCTCCTCCAAAATACTCTCATTTTCTCCCTTTTTTAATTTTGTAAAAAGGAGAAAATATAAAAAAATCACTAAATATATATCAAAATATAATAATTTCTCTTAAAACGATACAAGCTTATATCATCTAAAATGATAAATATTTTTTCTTTAAAATAAATACAGAAAAAGTTATAAAATAGTTGTTTCTAAGCCAAGATTCTTTATTTATGAAAAAAGTCAAAATATGATTTTTTATTTAAAAGTATTTTTTAATAACTGCAATGGCGCACTTGTGATCAAGTGCACAATAGTAGGTCCGCCATTGGTCAGATAACCCATCAATTCTAGTAAAAAAGAAACGACAATGTGCAGCACCAACAGTATGTGCACTTAAAAGGGTCACCATTTTCTCTTTTGTTATGCTTTTTTTAGCAAAAAATAAAGCTGAATTATAAAGTGAAGAAAAATAATAATGACGGCCAGATATACATAAGCCAATATGACCGCAAGTCCCAGTTATGCGTTATAGTGACAAAAAAATAATTGCTTTAATAAGCCAATAGCTAGCATAAGCCAATATGCATTAAAGTGACCGAAATTTTTTTTTTGTTTGCACTTACTGTCAGTTACAACTAAGTAGGCTCGACCCTGGTTAGATCCAAGGATTTGATTTACTGAATGAGTAATAGATTTGATTATGAGAAACACAACTTATTGGAGAGGTTAAAATCCAAAATTGAATTAATTAGACTAAATAAGATTTTGGACAACGGATTGTATATACTAGAGAAAAAGGGTATGTGAGCACGACGATTTACTACAGTCATTGGAGTCGCGGCAAAAGCTTAAAAAAATCCCAAATGTTCTACGCCCTTAAACAAGGTAGTAAACTTCCCTCAAAAACTCTGTCTGATTGTGCATTGCATTTGGCTGACGTTGCATTGTTCCGCTCAGAACCTCCTTTTAAATTTTCATTAATCACTCTATCAAATATCAAGGGCTATTTCGTACGTGACTATTTCCACACATGCCCTTTCTTTCTAGCTTAACTCATCATCAGTGTAAGTGTGAAAGAGATAGAGAATATGCGCGTCAAACACGACGGTGCAGCAAACTACCATGGTGTCATGTTAACACTCCTTCATTGCTTTCTTTATCCAAGTTTAGGAAATGAGGTTAACGTCATCTGCGCGATTCTTCACCTTTTTCATTCTCTGCGATCTATTTTCTTTGTCTTCCCTTATTCTTTTGCTTTTTCCAGGCCGATCTTCTCCTCTCGAAAATCAATGCAACCACCGTGGATAATGCCTCATTTGCAAGATCCAACGAGGATAACATCCCTAACATGATTGATTTGGATGCCTAGCTTTTCTCACTTTTTCTTTCTACTTACGCATTTCTAAATTTCTTTTGTTTAATTTGGATGCCAAAACTCGTTGGATCGTGTTTTGAGGTATGACTATGCTATGCAATATGAATCTTGGAAGATGCTGTTTAATTGGAGTTTCATTTAACTTCTACTCTAGATGCGCTGCACGATTTTTCTCTCTGTCTCTTTTCTTTTGTGGTTGATTTGGTGGTTTATATATATATATATATATGCTGTGTATTGTGGATAGCTGCTGTTAGGAAGTGAATTTGCATTCTACTTGCTCGATGAAATGCATGTGTGATTCGGTATATATTGAGTATCATATCTAAATGATTTCACTTGGAGTTTTGAATATGAGCGTGGAGGTTGGAATGCATAAAATGGAATGCATAAAACTTGAGAAACTTTGCTCCTAATAACTATTGTTTTTCATTATTTGTTGGAAAATAATTGGAAGAACACATAGATATAGTCAGATCGAAGAAGCAAGCAGGGAGGTTGAATTGACTTGGGATGATTACAAAAGAAAGGAAGCTACACATAGATTAGGGTTTGTCTTCGTGTGGACTCCTTTTCTATAAAATAATAATAATTCCATATATAAATTTAGCATTAAAAAACATTATACGGGATGAAGCCCATTAACGTGTTTAAAATTACAACAGATCAGCATTAATAGTAAATTACTTTTCCTTGTCTTTTTTCTGTGAAGGTTGTGAACGAAACTCTTCTGCTGGGAAATGTTGAGGTTCCTTCATAGGAAGGCTCTCAAAGATGTTCAATTCAAAGGTGAGTATAAGAATAGTATCATTATTTGTTTATATTTTTGGTTGAAAGATCACAAATAACTTTTTGTGGAAAGACAAAAATAAATAAATAAATAGAAAAAGTTCGTTTAGGTGTCAAAGTAAAGGGGAAAGTTGCCAGAAATCCAAGGCCTTTTGAGTATTGAAAATGTGTGTTTGAGGTTTATTGGTTAAACATTTATTAGTGCTTGATGTTATTAAATTTTATATACTTTTAAGTTCTTTTATGGTGATTTTGCTGAATATGCATCATAATTCCATGCAAACTAAATATTCAATCTTTGACTTGACGAAATGTTTTTATTTGAAGGCTTTAATATGCAAGCAATAGAGCGTGAGCTTTAAGTCACTGTCCAAGTCCACAAAGTATGTTCAGAATATGAGCGTTAAATGGAAGAGTATGTGCTACCTTTAAAATCAGTTTCTTCTAAAATCTGAATCCTTTAGAGTGACTAGATGGATTTCCTGATTGAATCTATGAGCATATGTTTGATAAAACACGTTGATGGCTAGGACTTTTGAAAGCCCCTCGTCTTTGAAATATGTAAGGATCTAATAATTTAATTATTTCACCTTCTGTAAATTGAAATGTGGATTAAAAAGATGTTGAACAAGGAAAACTTTTAAGTATTTGTATGCAAAATTTGCTTCTCTTATATTTTCTCTATATGATTCGAACTTAATCAACATCAACAACACTTTTATCCTAAATTAATTAGGGTCGGTGGATGATTCGAACTTAATAGATAAGAAAATATGAATTGATTTTCTAATTATCCTGGCATAAAAGTTTTAATGATATCCACAGGTAGATGTTATTACCAGTGTTTTTGAGGGAGTGTCCAAGAAGATTTTCATTCCTTTGATTGTTGTTGGTCAGCAAGTGCAAGCATTGAGTGAGAGATTTTGAATTTTTTCAACGAGAAAAGAGTTATACTTTGTAATTGGTATGGCACATCACATCACCATTGGATCAAAGAGAGAGAATGTTAAAAAGTGTTTGAAGAGAGAGAAAATGTTAATCTAATGATGATTATATAGGTAGTAAGTTGGTAGTAGAAAATTTTAGTAGTAAGAATATCCCTCCTCACTTCTATATTAGAGCTTTGCTCACAAGCTCATTTAATTATTGCTATTAATTTTAGGGAGATAAATGGCCAAGGAGATCACCATTCACCATGTTAAAGGAGGAAGCAGAGATGAAGCTAAACACACTTCACGCTAGGCTCTGTTTACTAACACTCTTCACACTGACCATGATTATATAAAAAATACCATGTTATCTAACTGCTTATTTTTGGAGTTCGTTACTATTCCCCCTTCTTGCATACAAATATGAACGTTGTCTTAAGAGTACAAAAATATTTAAACTAGGAGCCAACAGTTTAATTGCTTCTTACTCAAATATAAATTTGTAACAGAAAAGAGTGCTACCACTGATTGGTTGTTTATAATTTTGAATTGACTTCGGAATGAAACTGCCTTTTATATTATTCTGTTTACCAGGCCATCTGTTGAAGAAGAAAGGTAATCTAATGAAGCTAGTTGATAGAAGATTGGGTTCAGACTTCAACAAAGATGAGGTAGTGGTGATGATCAACGTGACTCTCCTATGCACTAATGTGTCCCAAATGTAGTATCTAATTCAAGCAATAGAAAGTGATGAAATGGATATGACCATGATTGGGAAAGAAGTTGCGGTTGTGTGAGTACTTTGATCATCTAAAATAATAAATACATATATTCTTTTGACAAAGTAATCAAGGTTGCTTTATTATCTTTGACCAAATTCAGATTTCTTTACAATATGGTACATATATGTTTTTGATCTACAAGGACACACCTTATTATGTAAGTAATGGTTTTGTCACGTCCTAAGCTTAACTTTCCTTGAAAAATAAACTACTTCTCAATCTGTTCATGCAAAATAATGGTGCGAACCATTGTTGAATCTATGTTGAAAGTTGTCGTTACAGATTATGTTAAACGTAATAGGTCCTTACACATCTCCAACTTATTACAATGTTTTTAGTGTGTGTGTATTGTTTGTAGTTAGAGTCAGGGCATGATGTCATGATAGGCCATGAAATGTAGTCTAATATTTGTATGACGAAAGATCCACATGTCTGCAATTTTTAATAATGTAAAAATTCAGAACACCGGTATATGAATCAAAATGTGAATTGTACTTTACACTCTTCATGATGATTATGCAGGATGAATCAAAGATGTATATCTTTCCTGAGTTTGTAACAAAAGGCTCAGTAAGCCTCTGTTGGAGGTATACTTTTGGTGATTCCCAAGTATCTACCTATACAAGATAGATTCTGCACTGTTTAAAGTATTTTTATGATCGAAATGTGGTTCACTGGTGACTCAAATTTTATTTTGATTTCTATTTATTTATTTTTTTCGAGTATATATTGGTGTTTCACAGTAAAAGATTGAATCCACTGGCTAGGCACACGCTGTTTGGCCGTTCTGGTACAAAAGAAATTTGAAATTCCATCCCTCTTCAACTTCTTTGAAATCCTATTCATCTCCTTCATTAGCCTGACCTTTCACATTCTCCAAATGCAGATCCCAGTCCATTTCATCCTCTTTCATCTACCTCTCCATTATGTTTCATGAGGATTTTCCTAAACGAATTCCCCTGACTGCCTGAATATGGAACCATCCAGGCTTCCACACGGGTGGACGTGATGAGGGATTAGAGAATGAGCTCTCCCCTTCCTTGTTGCGTTTTATACTTTGGTCGGAGATTTTTTCCTCTTCCTCTATGTTTTATTTATTATAATACTATTAGTATCGCATATTATTTCACGCGAAATAAAACCAAGATAAAGGAAGGAATATGTACTAGTACTATTGATAAGCTTTTTGACCAATGGGGTGCAAATCCCAAAAAAATATTCAATTGGATATAACTAAAAGAGTAAAGTAGGTACTTAACAAATATCACGTACTTAATTTAATCTTTTATTAAAAAAAATCAAATAAATCCATATTAGTATTTTTAAGGAACTAATATGAATTGTTTTTGAATTTAAGAGAAATTGTAATTTTAAATAACTGAATTTATTTAAATTTCAGAAGATCACAAGTCAACTTTTTTTTCTAAAAAATTAAAAAAACCTCACAATTTTTTGAGGAATCAAAAAATACTTTACTCTAACTAAAAAATTCCACCGCCGTAAAACAGAGTGAAGAAAATAACTTTTAATTGCAAACCGTTAACTCTTAATGAATAGCTAAAATTTGATGTTAAAAGACATGAACGTCCGCGATAATTTTCCCAGCTTAATAAAATGCCCAGTGTTATGCATCACAACTTAAAAAATAATTCATTTTTTCTTTCATTACCTCTTTCACCCTTTTCAGATCCATTTATACCAAACATTACATCTTTTTGGAAAAGGCATGGACGAAATATAAAAAGCACAATTTATTACTCAGACGCAATTTGTTTATACCTTATTATACCTTCTCAAAATTGAATCAATACTCTATTTCTGTAGACTGACGAAAAAGAATGCACGACGGCATCTTTTGGATAGATATAAATAAAATCGAAGGTTCAATTAAATTACAGCCAACCACGGATGATCTTAACTCAAGTCTCCAGCAGTACAAAGACGTGTACAGCACCTAACGCAACGTTGACAACGCTGCTTTCAATTGTCAAATGAAGAGGAAAGCCCCAGGATTTGCAATTTTCTAGACATTAACTTCGCTAACTATTACAACATCCTAATGATGAGATATAACTTTCTTCAACGAGAAAACATTAAACATAAAACCACAAAAAGTTGCATAGAGACTAGAATCTGGTATTCACACCACAAACCCCCGGCCAGTAATATCTCCGTCACTTTACTGCAAAAAATAACTCCGTTAAGGTAAAAGTAAAACCAGAAGACAATCTTGCTACGTGGGTAAATAACGTACCTCTGCATCATCACCTCCAGCAGCTCGGGCAGAATCCCCCTTTTGTTCTTCAGCTGTTTAAAAAACGTGTACTTAAGGAACCACGGAATTAACAAATGCTGAAGGTAGGTTGGAAGGCCCACACAAATAACAAAAAATGCAAAGGAAGACCAGAGATAAGTTTGAGACGAGAGCAACAATTGCAAAATGGAGGTACAGTAGATAGTAAACCATGATAAAAATGTGTTGATAGTAACCAAACACAACACTTGATTGTTTGCTATATTATTAATTTATTATTGATGTACACAGCATGCCCCTTACTTGACGTTGATGTTTCATACAATAGATTACTTTTTTTTTTCCTGACATTGCTTAGCATGTATTTCCTCTAAAGAAGCTTTCTTGTTAACTTGGAATAAGAGAGCAAATACAACTGGCGCAAAAAGTTCTGAGCACAAGAAGCATAACTAGATCAAAGATTACTTCTACGATGACACGCACAGTTGTATAAATAAACCTCCAATACAAACTTGATAGAAGAAAATAAAGAACGGAGGCAAATATTATTTTAATAAAAGACAAAAGTAATGAAATACATTTTCACCAAAACAACAAGTAATTAAGTACCTGAAAAATGGAAAAACTAGCAAGAACTGTAAGCTAATTCTAATTCAAAAATAAACACTAAAGACAAATTACAGAACCACCAATGAGCCAAGCCAGCGGCCAAGTTCATGAGGATCATCTATCTATAAAATTCTAATCAAATTCCAGTTACATATACAAACCCCAACGGTCAACTTAAAAATTCAGCAACTTAATCCTAATAAGTTAATAGAGTCACATATTTCCCACTGATAATTATCAGTAACATTTGTATCAGATAATTTTGATAAGTAGAATAAAGCAAAAATATAAAATATGAAGCAATGAGGATCAGATACCATTAAGTTGGTTCTTGGTTCCACAGATTTACTTAACTCAGATTAAAAGAGCTATGAAGAAATTAGTTTTGGTAAAGCTCAACAATGAGATCAAATTTCTTTTTTTTTTTGTAAACAATGAGATCAAATTTCTTTTTTTTTTTTTGTAAATAATGAGATCAAATTTCTAACTCAGCTTTATCTCTTCCACAGAGAAATGAATCACTAACAGCTTGATCTGATTTTTTAGAACTTCTAGTAGGCTGTTTTGATTCTTTATTTCAACTAAAAGTTAGGCGGCAGCTTTTCTTCAAGACTATGAAATTCTGACCATCAACATGGAATTGTGTTCAATTTTTTATCAAAATTTTGACATTTCATGGAACAAAATAAAGATAAAGTTCTGTAAGCCTGATTACTATCTCTTCCTTTTGGACCTTGTTCTGATACTAAATATAACTATATAAAGTCAGTAGGAAAACTTATTCTACTAACAATTTCACAGAGACAGAAAAGACCAATCTGAAAGTAGTTTGTTATCAACATGAACTCCTGTCTAAATAAACAAAACATCAAAAGAAAGGCTCTACTGGTCACAGTAGTCACAGATGAACAATTATATAAATCACCACAATGTCAACTATATCTGAAGGATATTCTATCAAATCAAAATAAAACATTTCATATATTTCATTTCCATTGCAGATCAGATTACCAAGTTCACAGAACAACGTTAATTTATACCTCCATCTTCAGGGATGTCAGAAGTCCACAAGGTGAGGTTATCCCTCAGAAGCTGCATAATGAGTGTGCTGTCTTTGTAAGATTCCTCACTCAGAGTATCCAACTCAGAGATTGCTACATCAAATGCCTGCTTGGCAAGGTGACAAGCCCTGAAACACAAGTTCCATGTGAAATTTGTTAAAAAGACTAACTTAGGTACTTAGCATTAGAACATGATAACGGCAAGGGAGTGTGATATACTTCCAGGAAGAAGATAAGATTAGGTATACCTTTCAGGAGAGTTCAAAATTTCATAATAAAAGACAGAGAAGTTCAAAGCCAAACCCAGTCTGATGGGATGTGTGGGAGGTAAATCAGCCTCTGCTGCAGTGGAAGCTGCCTGCAATTATTTTTATTTATGAATTATTAAGAGTTGAGACTGACATGAACTAGTCGAAAAATACTTTGGCAACTCAACAGTCAACTTGGCATTCTCCTTTGATACAATGCTCGAGTCTTGGTCTAAATGAAAGTCACACAACCACAACCAATCATAGATCAGTCATCAGTCTTAAGACAAATATAAGGTATAATGAATGTAATGCCCGGAGAATAATCCCTTCATCTTTTCATCCCTAACAAGTACATCCTTAGTGATAAGAACCATTTACAATCACCCTTTTAAAGTGTATATTATCAGTGACAAATTCAGGCTTACAAATCTTACACTGGTTGAGATAATAACATCAACATAATAAACCTAGCAAAATTTGAGTGGTAGTTATTCCAATCAAATATTTTAGATAACAGTACATTAACCTTTTATTCAACCAAGGTGGCCATATACATATTAAGAATTTGATGGGAAGTTACAAAAGGAAATAAAAAACGACCAGCAAATGGTCATCATTGATCTAAACAAAAGCTTATGGAATAGAAATTTTTGAGGAATGCTATGGATTATAAAGGAAATCATACTGCACATATTTAACGCTTCTAGCTAAAAAGTATATAAATGCACTGCATATATCATGAAGCACAAGAAATGGCAGGTAAAAAACTTGAAGATCTTTTGAGCCACACAGAACATACCTCATATGCTTTCAAGGACTGATCAGCAGCCTCTTTTCTCTCGTCACCAGCCTTAAATTCAGCCAGATAGCGGTAATAGTCACCTTTCCTGCAATGAAGGGGAAAATACAACAATCAACAATGAAATTCTAAATTCAAAGAGACAAAAGGAGCATAGGAACAAAAGTTACTTACATTTTATAGTAGAAGACATTGGATTCACCGGAGGACTGGGGAATCAGATGGTTATCAATAATATCCATGATATCGATGCAGATATTGGATAACTCCGATTCCACTTTTTTCCTATAGTCCTTAATCCGCTTCACACTCAGATCGTTTCCTTTAGCTTCCTCCTTCTGTTCAATTGAGGACAGGATCCTCCACGATGCCCTGCGAGCACCTACTATATTCTTGTACCCAACCGACAGAAGGTTTCGCTCTTCAACAGTTAATTCAACATTCAGCTTAGCCACACTTTTCATCGCATCCACCATTTCTATCAAAGAATAAATGAATGAATAAGTGAAAAATCAAAACCCTAACTCCATTATTTCCTCTCACTCCCTAAAAAACGAAACGGAAAAGGCTAGTGAGAAAGAAAGAGAAACCTTCATAACGCTCGGCTTGTTCAGCGAGCTTAGCGACGTAGACGAAGTTTTCACGTTCCTTGGAGGATGCCATAGTCGATCTAAGAGCTTTCTCTCTCCTCACTTTTTGGTATTTTATCACTCTAGAAATGGGGCAAGGAAAATGGGAAACACTTTGTCTCTGTAGCTGTGTATTTAGAATTATTTTTTGTTTTTTTCCTTTGGGTTTGGTGCGAGTGGGAAGAGGTGAACGCCACTGATTCGTTTTTGTTGCCACGCGTCAAGAGATCATTGGTAAGTGTCTTGACAAATGAGGAGGTAAGAGGGAAGAAAAATAAAAATGGTGGGCGTGGTTCTCAAATTTAACTTAAAAAGGAATATACATAGTTTTACACTTCTACTTGATTTGGTAGAATCAAATGTATATCGTTTTCTTTGAATTCAGAATATTGAAAATGTTTTACTAGCGTTCGTGGGAGGAAAACGGAAATTTTTAAAGTGATCCGGATCACTTTTTTTCTTGTGGTCCTTTTTTTATTTTTGGAAACTTTTTCTTTCCTCTCAATTTCTCATTTTTTTTAAAAATCTCTCTCACTCTTTATTTTTTGCTATTTTTGGAACGGACTCAGATATACCTGGCCTACTACAACAAACCTCCAGGAAAACATCATAAGGGTCATTGTTCGAATGCTGGTAGAGTCCAAAAAGAAAAAAGAATATTGAAAATGTTTTCATCGTAATTCTTCAAAATAAATTAATCTTAAATTACATTGAACACATATTTGAAGAATAATTACTTTTTTACTTTTTCTTTTAAAAAATTTACAATTTTTCACAAAAAATCATATTATTAGTTTTTTTAATAATGCATTAACCATTTTTTTTAAAAAATATTATTATTATTTTTGCTGTAGCCTTATAGGAAGCGGGCATTGTTGAAAAAGTTTACTAGTGACTTCTACAAAAATAAAGGCTCGGTACTTCATCTACTCTAACTGCATTTATTTTATCCATTTTTTATAGTTCATGCCATATGATTTTTATTTTTATTTTTATTTTTATTTTCTATTTTTTAATAAAAGAGTATCTATTGAAAATATGCGATGTTAGGATAACAACCTCATTGGTGTTTGACATCAAGTCCTAAGTTGATTAATTAATTTGGAATAATATATCTTGAACCAAAAAAGGCACATATTTTACGGTATTGGTTGGAGCGCTGATATAACTTGATCTAACCTTTTTGTTTTATCTTGTTTTTAATTTAATTTTTAGTAGAATTAAAATATTTTAACTTTTAGTTTTATCTCATGTTTTATTATATTTTTAAAATACAAAAAAAAAAAAAAAAACAATCTCATACTATAAAGTTTCTGTTAAGAGTAAAATTCATTGCGTAGATCTATAATAATAGGAGATTGATTACATACATGATGGATCCATAAGAAGAATGTGGATCTATAATAAGAATAAGAGATTGGTTACATAATTTTTTTGTATTTATAAGAGACTGATTACATGATTTGTGACCAAATAAAATTCGTCTCATTTTAAAACTTGTATCAAATACAAATACTACAAATAACCATTGACCACAAGGATAACATTCAAAACCACGGGCTAATCCAGGTTTTTCGTATTAATTATCTCTCATTCAGGATTTAGCCTAAAAAGTGACTTGAGAACGCAACTTCCTAATGAATACTGGTTTTTCTTTCCCTTTTTCTACATTACAAATCAAAAGTCCCAAATCAAAGTTGAAATTAGAGAAAATGAGGTAACAAATGACCCCAAGCATCATCGTTAGCGCTCAGCATAGGGTGCAGAAACTCAAATGTGTGCTCCCCCTTTTCCAAATATGCCTACAGCGCTTCTGTGCTTGCATGAACATATATTTTGAATTCAATTTCATAGTAATATGTTGTTAAGATACAATGACCATTAAAATAAAAGAAACGGTTTTTTAATCTAGTATTATGCAGTTATGTCTTAGGAATAGTGAGTTATACACACCAGTTAAAAGCTAGCAGCCAAAGTTGATGATGTTTCTTGCTGTCTTATGGTGTCAGCAACATGAGCGATTACTCCTGCACCAGCGTTGTGAAGCCATTCATTTTTTACCTGAAATTCAACGACTACTCAAGTTAAAAACTACATGAATGATATCATCAACCCCGAAACGAAGATTTAGTGGATGCAGTACATGAATGTTGCTATGAGCAAAGAAAGGCCAGAATGCTGAGTGAAAGCTGACATCAACTTTTTTCCATCCCAATTGCTGTAATCCCCGTATCATTTCCTCTATTAAAAAGACATCAGGTGGCAAGTGATAAGGCAACAGTGACTGAAAATGTAAATTAGAGTATCTTAAGTTACTTTTGGCTATAATAATCACCTTCCATAATTTCATGAAATTCCACAGTATTCTGAGTATTTTGTGCGGTCTCCTTTGCTTTTACTGCCTCTGGAGGAAATTGAGGCCCATCAGAAGGAACCGGGGGACAGTGTTGCACATTAACAACATGCTTGTATCCATCCAAAGATTGACGTGGAGGCTGTCAATAATACAATAGAAAATGTTAGTACTCTACAAACAAGAATATATTTGCATTCTCAACTTCTGCAAGTGTCTCCCTTTTTCTTACATTCAATAATTTCTCTTACTAGTTTTAAATACACATTGTAAATGAATAAATTCAGAATCCCATACTAAACATCTAGGATGTCGGGATTTTCTCTCTTTTCCTATATTTAATAATTTGTCTACCTGGTTTGCATTGCTTAATCACACGCTAAACAACTAGGATGCCAGCATCAACACCATACACGTCTTAATTGCAGAGTGTCAATTGATCTGATCCATTATTTTATAATTATTTCATAAGGAAAACTGTAAATCTTCTAGCATACCAGCATTGCATGGATGCACTGATGCATATACAACTTATAGTCACTACCTTATTCATTTTTAAATACAGGTCTTCATTTTAAGCCAACAATCTGTTGCTCTGCAGTGAAAGGCAATTTTACTTGGAATTTATAATTATGGTGGCACATTAGAGCTACAAATGCAATGAATTAGCGGTTAGAAGAATATAACCATTCCATTAATTCAACCAAAACCCCAATCAACTTGTCCTATTGCTGAATGTGTAACTTAGCATTTTAGTCATAAATAAGAGGCTGCCTTTGAAGATATATGCCCTAAAGACTAAACTACAAATGCAAGACTTAAACCCACATTCAGGATTTCAGCTACTAAGTAATAAATTTCATAATCCTGTGATACGAATGCACCCCTTAAAGTGTGCGAGAGACTAGGGCCTCTCTATGTGCCCTAGGTTATCACTAATTTTCTGTCATTTCCTGTAATTTTCCTTCAATTTCCATTATTGTTGTAATCAATTCCCTGACTGAAGTGCCTGCACTGAACAATTTACCATATCAATACAATATTTCTCTGTTTTGGTTCCAATTATCCATTCTTGTTGGATCAACACCTATCATCCTGCTAGATGTTTATTTATTCTAATTCAGATATTTAATGCTAAACTTCCATATGACAATTTAAATATTGGAGCTCAATAACGGATAAAAAAAAGGAGTGATAATCCAAGAAAAGAAATTATCATATTCACCTTACAAAGTTCAATTTCCCTCCTTATAGAGGATGTGCGCCACCCAACCATATCTATATAAAGTTAAAGGAATTACACGAATTAAGGAAGAGAGAGCCAATAAGTTTGTCACTGATATACCAAGTAGGTTGTACTAAAGGACAGTATGCTGAATGGATACGATCATATGATACATTAGCATAAACAATACGAAATCTAAATGCTCCAAGTGCAGATCTACAAAACAGAAAATCTAATAAGCACATGATTACTTTACTGAAACAAAGGAATCTATAGCCAGCAAAGAAAGGTTCCTTTACTTACATGAATTTTCCATCTTCACAATCAGAAGCCATTCTCAAAAGAAGAGATGGTTTGTTGGGTTCACCATCAGAAAGGAACAGCTGACCACCAGACCGACCAACAAAAAATGGAGCTATAGGAGCAGCAAGCTTTTCTAGGATTGGGACACCCAGTAGAAATGGAAGCTGAAAATATGTGTATTAAACAGTAAAAAATTATTACAAATAAAAGTTTCAAACTTCTGTTGACCAGCAAACATGAGATAACAAGTGCGAGATTCCAGTAAGAATCTTGAGACATCTAAATGAAGGGTTGGAGTAAGGATTGTTTAGATATTCAATTTATTGTATTCAAAAAAAATAAAAAGATATTCAATTTATTCATGATTTTGTTTGATTATAAACATTAAGTTTATTCACATTATTTTACAATTATTTTCTCATGATTGCAAAATTAGATTAGACCAATTAAATAATAAAGCTTATTGTAAGTTTCTCTTAACACCATAGGTAATACTGAATGGGAGTTATTAGCATCCTTTCCTGTTATACTCTATCCTTTTCCTACTCTTCCTAAAAATACAAAAATATGAATGCATACGTACATAAACTAATGAAAGACCTAAGAAAGACAATACTTCTGTCAAATTTCATCTCGGAGCCAACAAAGGGGGAAAAAATGACAAAGAAAATTTTTAAAATGGAAAAAGAGTAGGTCAGACTTGAAAAAGGATAATCAGAAAAATATTATTAATTGTATATTGATCTGATACAAAGAGGTCTCTATTTATAGAGACTAAAAAACCTAATTCTTGACCTAATGGGCTTGGCCCAATACAACAAATAGTAACAATAATAAAAGACCTAATATTTACAACACGGTGGGAGTGCCCAAGACTTTATAAACTCCACATTAGTTGCTCTTCAACCAATGTGGGATTATATATCTCAACAGTCAGGCAATGCAGATTGATATGCCTCCAGCATATATATGATTTTAAGCCAAAAAGAGAAAGAATCTTGATAAATCTTGGATAAAAAGGGCTAGAATTTTTATTAAATTGATAAATCTCAATAAGATATCTTTTGACTGATTTTCTTATATTTTTGTAGGAAAAAGTACAAGAAAGGGGCCCAATTGAGCAGCAGAGAAAAGGATAATATTTGAATCAGAGGAGATTGAAATCAAGAAATATGATCAAGATTTGAATCAGACTATATCAGGAAAGATTGGACCCAAGATATACAATGAAGATTTGATCAAGATTTCTAAGCAAGGCACAAACTCTATAAATAGAGACTCAGACCCTAGAGGCAAACAATCTTTGGCTGGAGAGAATTTTTGGAGGCTCACGCTGGAGATCAGGATTCCAACGGAGTTGAAGAACGAAGAACATTGATCCTTCATCTTCTTCTTTTTCTTTTTCTTTATTGTTTTCATGAATACTTTTTATTTCTTTAAGTTGTTAGAGTCAGTTATGTCTGGCTAGTTTTCTTTTTGTAGTTGGGATCACGGACCCAATGTGAATCCTTTATATTTCCTATACTGTTTTTATAAGTTAATTAGTTTGTTTATTTTATTCTGCCTGTGTTAATTTTTCCATATCCTGTTTAGAACTGATCACTCTAAATTATAGGGCTTTGAGGGTTAGGGCTCACAATAGACATATTGGAGTTTTAATCTGGACAAGGGTAGAATAACAATTTGTGCATGACCTAGACATAGGCTTACATAGATTGCAGACTTTTAATTCATTTGCTTAATGCTTAATTCAAGGGGGATTACTAGGACACTAAGATTCTAATTGGGTTAAAGGGTTGGAATCACTAAGACATTAGAGTTCAACTATTTTATAGGGAAATAATGAATTGTCTGAGCAAACGAATTAATTAATTATAAAATACAATATAGGAATATAAGAGAGGATCAGAGGTGAAGTGCATCCTGGCTACAGTCTTTTTACAATTTTTCATCAATCTCACATTTTCTTGACATTCTTGATTTTCTTGCATGCATTTTAATATTATTGTTTTTAAAAATTCTGTTTTTAAAATTCCAACAATCAATCACTTTCACAAATCAAACAAATTTTATTTTCCAAATTAAGGGGAATAGTTAAATTAATACTTGGTGCATTAATCCTAGTGAGAACGATCTTTACTTATCATTTTATTACTTGAAACGAATGGTATACTTGCCGATTTCACAACACATATAACCATGGAGATTGTGGCTGCAATCATGAAATAAATGATTGGATTTGATTTAACTTGAATGAAGAATAAATAAGAACATAATAAGAGAAAGAAGTACAGAGACTTGCAAACAAGTATTAGAGAAATATTTACAACATGCTCATTTCATTAATGAAAAAAATCTTAGGGCTTCTATAAGTTGAAAATCAACAGATAGCACAAAACCTGAGTAAGCTAAAGTTATAATCATTGAACATTTTAAAGCTTTGAATTAACATTACCTAAGGGAAAAAAACAACAGTGCTTTCTATTTTCAGATATAAGTTCAGATGTATCAAAAAACATAGCGGATAGCTCCATAATTTAATTGTTCTGAACATACCTGCTTTTTTCCCCTTACACCAAGATGTGGAGTTGCTAAAGTAACAAAATTCATTGGCTCCAACCCAGCAATCATCCCTCTTGAAAAGTCTGTTCTTTGTGAATTTTCCATCATGCAATTCGCTGGATCACCAGGTTGGCCACTATTATAGGAATTAGGTGTATAAAGGGCAGCAATTGCATATCTAGCAAAGAGGCCTCCTAGAGAATGGGCCAGAAAGGATATTCTTTTCAGGCTCCTTGTCTTTTTTACAACTTGCATAACCTGTTGTGATAAAAGGACATAATATTAGACTTGAAATAATTCAAGACAAACTCCAAGCTATCAAAACCGACTTTGGAGGTCCAAACTTTAGATACATAAATTTGAATATATTTCAAGACTCACTTCATCAGCTAATCGCTTTCCAGCTTCGTCAATCCCAGTATATGTTTTACCGTAAGTATTTGATGAACTTGCTGCAGACATCAAATTAACTTTTAAGGACTTCTGCTTAACCATTAATTTCACACTAAGGCACACAAGCGATTCAAAAGAATTTTTCACACCATTCAAGACAAGTATTGTCATCATCTACTGCTTGAACTAAGTTGTGTGCAACAGGAGTGGATCCTCTCATATGTTATTTAACATGACCATATCATGTGAGAGGATACTAACCATTCATGAAAAAATTATGGTGATGATTTTGTCACTCCGTATCCCAATATTTTTTTCTCTCACATCTCTCATCACCATTGATTTGTCCATGAATGAATAGAATCCTCTCACATGACACGGTAATATTAAATAACACATGAGAGGATCCATTCTCATGTGCAACTGATAGAAATAGCCTTTCTCATGCATTTCCCAAAAAACAAACAGGGATTAGCACCAGAGAGTTAGTATAATTTTGGCAAGCCCCATCAAGCCTAGCAGTGTCCAGCTACATCAAAGTAGATCAACTTTGAGTTGGCTAAGGTATCTTAGTCAGTTTATCCCAATAAATCAAGCAATCATTCCAAGATTCTATAAAATGCTCTCTTGTTAGTGTTTGAATGTTTTTGTGCATAATACACACACACACACACACATACTTTTCCATCACCGTCAACTATGAGTTTTAGACATTTGTGCAATACAATCCTTTTCCCAATTAAGCACAGTTCAAAAACAACAATTTCATCTAAAGAAATTAAGAAAAATGTGGTTCAGACTTCAGACAAAATATATGGTATGAAACCATAAGTATAGAAGACATAGTTACCATAAATTAAAAAGTTTTTTCCAAGGTGCCTTTTTAACTCTGCCTCTGCATAAGTCCAGTCACTTGGGCTGTGTCAGTTAAAACATCGGTCAAATTTGTATGAGGCTATATTAGAGAGAACAAACTAGCAGAAGGAAGTGAACATATGGTAGACACCCCTTGCTCTATATTTTGTATTAAAAGCAAAAGATAAAGCAGTACATGAATGACTAAAGAATTTTTCCAGCATCCATTTGCTAGAGTGATTATGTATTGCTTCTGAGTTCTGACAGAGGAAATTCTTCCAGAATTTAGAGCTAGACATGCAGACCCTCAAATGATTAAATTTCCATTTCAAATAGACTTCTGAAAGATTTAAAGATGGAACAAATTCATTCATGTTTTTACATACTACCAAAGAGGAAAGAAAATCCATCAAGCTATCCATCATAAATCCTTTTCGGCACTACTAAAAAGTAACAAGTAGTTTTTACCAAAAAGAAAGAGAGAAAATTTCACAATGGCAAACTTTGAAGCCAAAAAATTGTTTGTGTTATGGACTTGCTTTGCAAGGGTCCGAAGGTCGGTGAAGCCACTAAATACTGCGGAAATACTCTTATGCCTGTGTTAAGATTTCTTTCTATAGCCATCTTCCCGTTCATACCAAGTACTAGCCTAGGAAAATCTATGTACCCTCTTCAAACCCTTACCTCAAGCCACATGGGATAACCACAGAAGAACTCATTTTTCTAGATAATTAAACAAATGCTGCATAGTTAGTGGAAAGAAAAATTTTCAGAGCCCTAAAAAACAACACCTGATAGTGAGATTTACAATATAAAATATGGGGCAACGAAATGAGTTACTGGAAAATAAAAGCCATAATTTATTATTAGATCAGCTTTTTCATAAAAGTATTAAGCACCTTTACTTTTATTTCCACCTTCAGCTCGTAGTAACTTTTCACTCAAATATGAACACACAAATATAATAATCTAAACAACTATACCTAGCCGAGATACCATGGACAAGAACAAGGAGATGATCAGGATCATTATTCAGTTTCCCAGTGCTTCTAACAATAGACTTTCCCTGAGCGGTAGCACTCATAGCTTGAGCTCTAAGGTTCTGGTGTCTTTGTCCTCTGTTTTCACCTGCATGAATTCATCTGTCAGAATTAATGAAAATTACAATAAAATTTTAGAAATTAAAATCGTATGTAAATATTAATATGGTTTTTTACCTGAAAAAAAAAAAATGACAAAACGAGGGTGGAGAATGCAAGCCAAGGAGGACATGTATTCTAATATTAATAAAGAGAAGAAGGAGACAATTTGCCATCACATTTTTGTTCATGAAAGTAAATATAAGATAAAAAATTACTATTTAAAGTATTTAACAACTATGGCAGTAATGGGCAGTAACAGCAAATACAGTAAACTGCTTATTGGGCTACCAAGTACTAACCAATGCTATGAAAAGAGTACATCATTTGATCTTCAAGTCACTCTTCGAAATTGCCATTAAAAACCGGCTAATGGGACAAGCCAAGCTCCTCATATTCAAAAGAATCCACAAAATAACAGCCTAAGAAAACTTTGCCGATTATGAGTTTCTGAAACCTAAAATTGACGAATTCAGACCAGTCCAGATGATATACTATTGGCCCATAACCCAACACACTTAAAATTGATAAAACTATAAGTGAAATTCAAAAGAGAGATTTTGGTATTTCAATAGCCTCCCAACCCAATTACGAAATACGTTAAACAACAATCAAAGCTTGAGACTTTAGAACAAAGGGGTAACCCAATTTTATTTTTATTTTATTTTTAAAAAAATTACCAGAAGAAGAACTCAAACTCCAGTTAGAGGTGAATGATGAAGAACAACATGAGAAAGAGGAGAATGAAGCATAAGAAGAAGAGCGATTAGCAATTCGGGGCAAGTAACCACAGCGAGCGTGAATCAAAGGGGTCGTTGCCATATATACGTATATGCACATAGAAATATTCTCCACTCTCTTCTTATCATTCTACAAGTTTATATATAATTACCAATCACAATGAAAGGAGAACGTTCCAAAAACTTGTATCTCTCTACTTTCAATTTCAAGCGCAGTGTGAAGTTTGAATGAGTGATTAAGGTGCAATGCAATTTAATGGAGAACCCTAATCTAAACTTTTATTTTATGAAAAAATAATAAAGAAAGAGATGTGTGATTGGGTATACTTTAGAAAAATCAGGGGCTGTGCCAAATGCGAGTGGGTCAACACAAAACCAAGCCTTAGCCTCTCTACCTAACTACACGTCACGCATGGCCATTCATACTTTCTTCATTGAAGTTTCCATTTTTTTGGCTTTTTTAATGCTACTTTGTTCAGAAAAGTTAAAACACACATTTGTTAAAAAAATTACCATCTCGACAACTTGTTATATACTCGTACTCTGTGTAAAATATATAACACACGTTAAAGATATCATATTATTTTGTTACGTATATAAATCTTGAGTTCGTTTTTTCTATTCGTTTTTTCTACCGTCAATATAGATAATTTATTTATATTGAAACTAAAATAATGTTGTTTTTATGCAGAAATTAAAGTATTTTTGTAATTATAATTTATTTCAAAATTATAATAGTCTTTTTTATTATAATTTTTTAATCCAAAATATTTTAGGAGTGAATGTAGATAACTTATCTACATTTCACTGTAGACACATTAAAGCCATAAATCTTTCAAGTTATTAATCTTTAAATTTAAAATGTACTAATTATCTCATAATTGTTATTAAATAATATGTAATTAAAAGAACAATAGAGATAAAAACTATAAACAAGTAAGAGAAAAGAGTAGAGAAATTTTTCCCATATATTATATTCTGATTGTCAATCTACAAGATTTGTATATGGTCTCTATTATAGGCCCTCTACTATAATGAGCTACAATAAAATAAATGATAACATTGAATCCTCCTAATTACATATTAGAAGTTACAAAGAATACACATTGTTTCTTTGGGAGTTATGAACATCCACAATATTATTTATAACACTCCTTATTGGATGTCCATTAAGATAACGTGCCTAATTAAAATCTTACTAGAAAGAAAACCCTATGGGAAAAAATCTTAGTGAAGGAAAAATAGTATATATTTTTTAATAATATGTATAGCAAGTTGCCTCATTAAAAACTTTATCGGGAAAACCCAATGGGACAAACCTTTGGTGAAGGAAAAAAAAATGCAGCACATATTTTACTTCCTCTGATGATAACATCATATAATGTCTCTAAATCTACGAATCTCAATCTTATATCTCAGCTTGTTGTGCTTCCACTTGTGATCAAAAATTTGTTTGGGATCTACTTTTGTGTTGTTCAAGTAAATAACTTGCCTTATTATTAATATAGTGTTGGGGAAGAGCATGATTCTGCTAATAGACTTACAAATAAGAAGGAAAATATGAGGCACTATTGTAAAACTCGGCCCGACCCGGTCGGGTAGACCCAGAACCGGGCGAATCGATCATTAGACTGGTTCAGGTCAAGCATTGGATTGGTCATATATTGACCCGATCAAAACCGGCCAAACTCGATCAAAATCGATGATCCTTTGACCCGGTCGGGTCATGCATTTAAAAAAAGAGAGTAAATACCCTTTTTGGTCCTCAGCAAATTTCATGATGCCCGCTTTAGTCCCTAGCAAATAAAAAGGCTATTCGTGGTCCCTAAGAAATTCAAAATGGACCCATTTAGTTGAAATTGTGGTCCCTCACAAATTCAAAAAAGATCCATATTAGTCCCTCAAAAGGACTAAAATGGATCCACTTTGAATTTCTTAGGAACCACGAATAGCCTTTTTATTTGCTAGGGACTAAAGCGGGTATTGTAAAATTTGCTAAGGACTGAAAAAGGTATTTACTCAAAAAAAAAAAACTAAAAAACTAAAATTGTTTCATCTTGTCAGAAAAATGTACAACTCATTTTAAAAACTTTTTGTAATTTTATTTGCTAGTATACTCTTCTACAATAACCTCAAATTTCAGTTTCCAATACTGAAACAATTTGCGGAATAATAAATTAAGAGAATGTAACATATATCATTTTAATGTAGTTGAATTTGAAAAAAATAAGTTCAATATCATTGAGAGGTATGTTTATGGGGATTCTGAGTTGCAATTTAAATTGACATAGTAATAGCGTGCATTTTTATTTATTTATGCTTCATGTTTTTGAGCTTATTTAGTTAACCTTGTTTAATTCATTTTAGATATGGAGAATATAATTGAATTTATATATTCATATTTATATATATTTTTATATATCTATATATATCTGGGTCAACCGGTCCGACCAGTGATCCACTGGTCCGACCAGTAACCCAGTGACCCAGTACTCCGACCGGGTCGATGCCCGTGTCGGGTTTAATAACACTGATATAAGGGTAAAAGGAGAGAAGATGTGGGGTTAGAAAGTTAAACATCAATTTTATTAATATTTTCATAACTCTCCTTGGATGTTCACCCTTTATTTTAGCTAATAAAATTGCCTCATTAAAAACCTTCCTAAGAAAAATTCAGTGGGATAAAACCTTGGAGAAGGGAAAAAGAATGCAATTCTGATAACTCTCCATCTGAATACTTATTATAGTTATTATATAAGTACATATCATCATAATATCTCCCGCTTAACTGAGTCATATAATTAATCTCCTTTATCACACTATATAATATGCCATGATTGAATTGATATATGGCATTTGAAGACTAGGAAATTGTTTTTCATGGGATTGAAATGGATATTCTATTTATCTCAAGCGATCTCATAACTATTGGGGTATTCAATGGATTTTCTTTATCCATGTACAACCTCTTTAAATTATAAGTCAACTGATATATAGATATTTTATCAAGGCGATTATATCACTTATGTCTTTATTTCTTTAATCCATTTAATGATATCTGAAGCTTTATTCAACATTTTTTTTGAGAATTTTTATATGCTTCAAGCATTTTGGATCCTTCTAGGATATAAATTTCATTATCGATCGAATAAGCCATATAATTAGGCTATAATAACATCTATTAGACGAATGTCAACCTTTAATGAATTGCCAGACTAATAAGATATCTGAAGGTGATTTCATCCACTACAAGAGAATATATTTTCATATAATGAATGTCAGACTTTTGCAAAATTCTTGTGCTACAACAACTTCATTTTTCTCATTATACATTTGTATCCACTGGTATTACACATTCATGTGTTTGGACTATAGGTCCAAAAACTTTAAATTAGATTCAATTGTGCTTGAGTTGCGTCTTTATATTTTGGCCAATCATTTCTCTGTTAACATTTCTTAAACAGATTTAGCTTCAAGATCCTCGCCTTGTTTCATCGTTTCATTTTATGCAAAAGAAAATATTGTCAACAACTATACCTTTACGGCTTCAACTTTTTCCTATAATGACATAACTAATAGAGATCTCTTCTTTTTTTATTTTATTTTCAGGTACCTGAACCTCCCTCGAGGTTTAGAGAAAGTCGTGTCTTCGTGATTAACAATTGTCTTCATATTATGAGCATCTTGATCATGTGCTCATTTCCTCCTTTTGAGGATTTTTATCTTTGGAACCAATCATTTTTCCATGTTTTCTTAGAGCATTTACAGTTGAAATATTAGATTTATTGGTCAGTGAAATCATCTGGCAGTCGATGTATAATATTTTTTTTCATATTTGCTTTGTGCGATGATCTATATGAGATAATGATAATGCATTCTCTATTTTCCAATTGTTTATCCTCTCTCCCTCGTGTTGGAAAGACTGATAACAATAATCAAATAGAGAATAAACAATTGGAAAATATTGATTTAACCAAATCTCCATTAATTATATAAGGAGATTCTTACCCAAAATATATTTCCAACTATATTTTAGAATTCATCTTTGTGCGTTGTGGTGGAGTAATTAGAACATAAATCGCACATTCAAAAATTATAAATATTTGGCTCCTGATCATAAGCCAATTGTGATAGAGAGAATTTATGATAAACTATTGGCATGATGCATACAAGTAATGTTGTATGTAGAATAGCATATCCCCCCGCTGAAATGGAAACTTTTTTCTCAAATATAATGATCTAGCTATTAATTGGAGACATATAATAAATATTTATGCTAAACCACTTCAGGTATACTCATAAGCAAGAGGTTGTTCAACTGTGACTCTAGTTGACATATAATAATTATTAAAAGCCTGTTATGTAAATTCACCAGCATTATCAAGATGATTTGTCTTTATTATATAATCTGGGAATTGTGCTTTTAATATTATTATTTGAGCAAACAATATCACAAATGTCAATACGTAAGTTGATAGTAGACATATATGTGACCATTTTGTAGATGCATCTATTAAATTCATAATATTTGAAAAATCCAAATAGTTATTTTTGAGGGATTACTTTTTCTGATGTGTTGAGAGACTAATGCTTATACATGACCTACAAATGAAGGATAACCAATAGAAATCGAATCCAAAACCTTTAAAGTTGATGCAGTTTGTTCGATCCAGTTGCTGCTGAACGGCTGCACTTGAATTAATTATTATTGAAAATTAATAATTAATTAGTAAGTGTGACTCGAAAATTTATAATTATTAGATTGACGAAAATTAAAGGTTAAAATTATAATTAGTAAATATAATATTTCCCATACCTTCTATGTCATCATGTTTGTGTATTTTTTGTTTTATTTTTTAAGTTTTTGTTGATTCTTAACCTTTTGCGCGTTTTCCTTCCATGTTCTAAATTAATTAAGTTTCCTTTATGGCTTTAACTCACAAGTCACAAGTCAATATGTCCGCATTCTTTTGATTATTAATAGAGAGACAGAGCAAGACACACAAACACCAACATATCTTAATTTAAAATTTAAAATTTTCTGTGTCTTTTTTATTTTTTGATTCAATTCTTTAAGGTATATTATGATAACACTTCACTAAAATATTTGAACAAAGTTTGATCGATGAATTAATGCTATGTGTTTGGTTCTTATTCTCAACACTCACTTTCTCTCTTTGTTTGAAGAGATAAATTTTGGAGCTTCCCATTGAACAACTTGTGGTATCAACTATTCATTTGCAATTTTTGCTGGCAACACTTGTTTTCTTTTTCTTATTCTGTAACCGGTCCAACCGATAATGCAAGCCTCCGATAATGCAAGCCTAAGTGTCCAATACCTAGCACATATTGCCAGACTAAGAGACAAAAGTTTGATTCAACCGCCCAAGTACCTCTCAGATTACTTGTCGGATTAATTAGGTCTATCCTATTCAGCCCATTAACTAGTAGTTAACCTTGCTTTATTTGGAAAATGCCCGACGGATGTAACAGAATAGGTTGTTATATAGATAATGAAATGAATGAGAACAACATGCTAGATATGAATATTCTTTTCTCTCCTTTTCTCCTTCCCTAAACCCTCTCTTTTCTCTTTGGTTACATTGGTGCTTTCGTTAAGCTTCAAATGGTCGATAATACTCGCCTTTGTGACCTTATCCAACAGGTTCATGAGCTGCAACTTGCTCACCAAGCAGTCCAGGAGCAGCTCTATACTTTGGAGCTTGCTCAAGATTGTCGATTCACTACTATGGAGCTTTCCCATAACCAACGGATGGACACTCATAACCAGAAGATGGATACCTTACAGCTGCAACTGCAGAAGGTTCTCCATATCCTGCACTCCACCCAATCATCTCTGGACCCCAACGCTAGTGGGGACATTGACCATACTGTCCCCTTTTTTCATATAATATAATTTTCCAAACTACCACGACACCATAGTCGCTGAGGTAGTTAACTACTACGGACGAAACACGTGTCACTTTCTTAGTGGCTGGACATGCAACCCAAAGTAGTTGAGGTAGTCAGCTACTTTGATTTCCAGCCGCTAAGAAAGTGACACGTGTCCTGTCCATGTCCTGTCCACAGTAGCTGACTACCTCAGCGACTATGGTGACGTGACAGTTTGGAATTTTTTTTTTAAAAAAGGGGCAGTATGGTCAATGTCCCAACGCTAGTGTTCTGGGTTTTGGTGTGTAAAGAACCTTGGGATACACCACTCAAAAGCTAGTTCAAAGGGTGAGAGTGTCCAAGGCCTTATAAACTCCACATTAGTTGCACATACAACCAATGTGGGACTATATATCTCAACACGCTCCCTCACACAAGAGCCCATTGGGCTTGAAGAGTGGATGATGCAACAGGCTCAGCCTACCTTGTTCGCACAGGTAGGTAGGCCTGTGCATTGTCCACTCTTCAAGCCCAATGAGCTCTTGTGTGAGGAGGCGTGTTGAGATATATAATCCCACATTAATTGTATGAGCAACTAATATGGAGTTTATAAGACCTCTGAGACTCTCATCTTTAGAGCTAGCTTTTAGAGTGGTGTATCCCAGTGTTCTTTATATCTTCCATCACGTTTGCACAACAACGCTCCACCTGAGACCTATCGTCAACTCCTGATAAAGGTGGATTTCCTGAGATTTGCATCGAGAGACCCTATTGATTGACTCTTTGCTGTTGAACGCTATTTCAGGTTTTATAATGTTCCTATTACTGAGCATCTTCTGGTGGTCTCTTTAAACCTTGATTCCCCAACTTCTTCTTGGTTCCCGTCATTAGACCAAGATAGGCTTATTCCATATTGGCCATCTTCCTCAGTGTGATGTTTACTTGTATTCTTTGTAATTTGTTTAGAAAGCTTTGTTTGGATATTTGGTTTAGGAATTATGTTTAATTTGAAATCTCAATCACACCTCTGAAATTCTACCCACCCAACATTATCAGTTTTCTCCCAAGGTTCAAGTAATTAAGAAAATTTCCTTCTTATTATGCTGATTATGTGTTGCTTCACAATGCTCATTCATGTAATGTTTATCTAGTTGATGTGATATAACTAGAAGATGAACATCTTTTTAAATTCCTATACATGTTTTGATTTGTGGGGTTCATTCTTCATTAATAACTATTAATAACTAGTATAGTATTTCTGTGATGTGCCCTGGTTTTTTTAAGCTTTTACATTATTCCAAAACAAAAAAGAAAGATTTTTTTAAGCTTTTATATTACAGAATAATATTTCTGCAGTTAATGCAGATAAGTTATCTGCATTTACTTCTAAAATAACGTCGTTTTGAATTGAAAAATTAAATAATTATAATTATAAAAATTATAATAATCCTGAAATAAATTAAAATTACAAAAATACCATATTTTCTGCCCAAAATAATATCGTATTTGATTTATTACAGATAACTTATCTACAATAACTAAGAAAAAACGAATCCTTTATATTATTCCAAAGCCATGGAAAGATTCAGATACTTGGGATTATGAGTATAAATGGGACTAGCCGGTCTATCTAACCTATTAGGATATTAGAACAGTTTAAGGCTTGTGGAAAAACTTATTTAATAAATAGGCCAACTATGAAAAAATCTGGCTTGAATACCCGTACGACCGCATTTTATTTTTAAAAATAAATTAAAATATTTATTATGGAAAAAATTATTCGTATATAATATAAGAGTAATTTTATCTCTAATAAATCTATAAAAAACGGTGACATTTTTTTTTAAATATAAGATATATTTTCTTATGCAGATTAAATCAACCCATATATTATTTATTTATTCTAAGTTACTAAATACTAACCAATAACCATATGCTTCTCACTGTAGTGTCTCACTCTCACCCTAATTTCTTCGTACCCATTTTCTGTCGAGCCTAACGAGCAAGTCGAACCCTCACCAGTTACAGCCGTTCAGTTGCGTTTCTCCTCACACCTTCATCTGTGCATTCTCTTAAGCTCTTTGCCTTCCATCACTTTTGGCATTTCCCTTTCCAAGGTCCGTTTCTATTCCTCGATCCTGTTTCGGTTTCGCTTGGATCTGTTCCCTTTTGAATTTGCAGCTTTTAATTTTGAGTTATTTATCAATCCGCATGTATAATTCTTCTTTTGGTTTTATTGGTTGCTGGGTAGTTGGATTTCAAATGGGTCATCCTTGGATTTTGATTTTTTTAAATAAGAAAGGAAATTAGTTGTTAGGAGGGTTGGATTCTTGTTAGATTTTTGGTTTGTTTTATGAATCATTCATTTTTTATAATCTGTGTAGTTTTTAATGTTAAAACTAAAATTATAAATCATGCACATGATTATAAAATAACAAATAGCAATAAATCAGAGTTATAATTATGTGTTGGGCCATCACAAATTCGGAGAAGAACAGCTGAAAATAATGGAACAGGATGCTAGAGTCCTCCTCTCTATCGCGTATTCAGAGATTGGCAGCCTTCGCGATGGGAGCATGACAAGATGCTAGAGTCTTCCTCTCTATCGCCTATTCAGAAATTGGCTCCCTTCGCGATGGGAGCATGATGGCTCATGGAGTTTAACTCCAATATAAATAGGCGAGAGAGACGACCTCGCCAATAACCCATAAAAGAGTCTAGTCTCTGTCCAATTGGTCCACCCATCATGGAAAACCAGGGTCACACTAAAGCTTACATTGCTGCTGCTCAACTAGGCCCAATAACAACATATGCCAGAAGCCTAATTCAATAAGCCCAATTCAATGTGATCACAGTGGACTAGTTACAATAATAATATTGGAATATCCATTAACCCGATTAATTTTAAAATACAAAACTAATTAATTAATATTGCCCACATATAAATAAAATTTCTAACATTTAATTGATCGATATGTGTGTTATTTATGCAGTGGGTACTTTTTTTTTCTTATTTTAACTTTGAAGAAAAAAAATAATTTTGAATGGTTTAAAATTAAATTATTACATTTGTCATGAAGGTGACATGTGCTGAACCTCCCTCTCAAAAGAGAAAGAAGAGATGCTGAAAAGGAAATGTAATAATGTTATGCTTTTGTGGACCCTTTCGTTGGATATTTTCACGGTGTATGTTTAATGAACTTTTTACTCTTTTGCCAACCTCTTTGCTCTTGTCCGACGAATGTAGGATGTATATATGGGTGGATGTCAGTGGTGGAGTGTGTATATGTATTTGTGTTACTATGTTTTATAATGCATCTAGTATATTTTAGATTTTGTTTTTGGATTTTGCTTCTGTGCGCATGTTAATAGATTTTGCTTTTGTTTTTTTCTTTTTTATTTTCAGATTTTTGATTTGGGTACGGTGGGAATGACGCGAAATTACCGTGTGAAGGGGCAGAAGCGAAAGCACGTGGAACCCAACTACGATCGCGAAGATGAAAATGAAGAACAACAAGTGCAACCAACCAGACCCATAGTTCAGAACGAAGAACCAACACCAACACCAACATCTGAGGATAACGAACTTGTGGGTATCCCAATTGCGCCGAGTGACCAAAAGAGTGATAACCCAAACGTTATATTCATTCTCGAAAGGGCTTCTTTGGAAGTTGGCAAAGTTGGCAAGGTACTTTCTACTCTTCAATTTGGAACCCTTTTTATTGTTGTTTGTGCTTTTATGTAGTGGTAATATGTAAAAAAAGAGGGGGAGGATGCAGAGATGTAGGGAGAGAGAAATTAGAGAGAGAGAGAGAGTTGGATAATTTTCTTTGACCATTTTCATTACTACTACTCCCTTAAGTATCAAGTTTGTGCTAACAGAAATTACAAAATAAAACTTCCTGAATATTAAGGAAAATACTAGAGCACTCTAAGGTTTTAGACTGTTGTTATGACTTTGGATTACTTGGCTATAGTGGTTGCTAATTTTTTTTTAATTACTCAAAAAGTGTGGTACTTTGGTGTTGTGGGCTTATGGCTTTCTTTTTTATTTAATTCAAACAACACTCCTGTGTCAAGTACCAACTTTCTGTATCTGTTTGTTTTGTCTGCAGACTTATCAGCTGTTGAACTCGGATGACCATGCCAATTTCCTACGCAAAAATAACAAGAATCCTGGTGATTACAGGCCTGACATTACTCATCAGGTTGGTGTCCAAAATACTGTAACGGCCATGTTTTGGTTCTTCTTCTTGTTTATATTATCACTCACTTAAATCTTAAATTTCTTCTAAAAAGCTTGTTTTCATCAAAGGGATTCCCACTTCTTTCTATTACTGAGTTTGAGGTTATGCTGGTTGGTTGGAGTAAAAATGTGTGAGCACAGAACGATGATGTACTTGAACTTTTTTGTCTCCTAAATTCAATTACAATGTTATGTTCCACAACCAACCATGGCCTGATTGGAGTGCCTCTTTTTTTCCCCAATAAATTTGAAATGTCATTATATGTCAAATGGTGTTTTCAGGCCCTTCTATCTATTTTAGATAGCCCACTAAATAAAGCTGGGAGGTTGCGAGCAGTATATATAAAGACTGAAAAAGGTGTTCTTTTAGAGGTTAAGCCCTATGTTCGAATTCCCAGAACATTTAGACGGTTCTCTGGCATCATGCGTAAGTTTTAGCTATTTGTTTCCCTTAGCTGTAAGCAATGCTATTAATATTTGTTGCTCCTAAACTCTCTACTACCTCGCAGTGGAACTGCTTCAAAAATTGAGCATATCTGCTGCTGGCAAGCGTGAAAAACTTCTCCGCGCGGTCAAGAACCCTGTAACACAGTATTTACCTGTCAACTCACAAAAAATAGGTGAGTTGTCTTTTTTATTTTTTGGGAAAATGATTTCATGGTTACTTAATCCTTTTAAAGGGGAATGTTTGTTTGTCTGAGCAAATGGAGCTGATGTGTATTTCAATTGTTTCCTTCTTTTTGTACTGCTGGAAGGATTCCTGAATCCTGATGTCAACTTCTGGATTTTTTTCTTTTAATAAATTCTTTTATCAAAATATCCAAAAAAAGGGAAATAATTGCTTCCTTTGAATGTTAGGTCTCTCGTATAGTTCTGAGAAGCTCGTAAACATCAATGACTACGTATCAACTGTTCCCAGAAATATGGACTTTGTCTTTGTGGTACTCTCAAAGTTCAACTTTTAATTTCAATTTCTATTATCTGAGTAGATGTTTAACTTTTGATATAATCTAATTTCAGGTAGGAGCAATGGCTCATGGGAAGATTGAGACAGATTATACAGATGAGATTATAGCAAGTATGTTTATCCTTATAGACTCTTACCTTCTCTTGTTAGTAATTATATGCATAGTTCATACTCATGGTACAGTCAATTTTAACTCCATTAATTTCCTTTAGTTGCGTCTTTTGATTTTGGTATGTGTTATCTGATTGCCATGTCCCTTTATGTATGTGAATACAACCTTGTAACTCAGATTACAGATAAATCAAACTAACACAGGGAATTTAGGGAGAGAAACCAGATATCTTGTATTGATGAAATGGAAAATTACAAGATAAGTAACCAGTTCCATAGCCTACACACAATGTAGGAGAATTACAGGGAATTGTAAACAGTAACAGAAGGAGGAAATAACAAGAAGAAATAAAAGGATAGTGTAGAGCAATTTGGAGAGGCTCCATCTCTCCCAAGAGTCCAGTCCATAATATGGTTTTCAAAAGCCTTCCAGGTCCTCCAACCCCCTTTCTTAACTAACTACCTCCCCCATTCTCATTCTATTGGGGGTCATTTTGGGAAATATTTGCTGAAAATTAAGCTCCTTGTCCTCAAGGTGGAAATTGGAACTAACAATTAATAACTGCATAATCTTCTCATGTGTTTTCAAAATCTGGAAGATGGTACCACTTTATGAGAACCTCTAATCTCCCCTTACTGGAATGCCTCCACTGCACCAAAGCTTCAGGTTCCACCTTTAATTCCCCATTCTTCCGTCAAAGTGGAAGTCAGGGGCTGTGAGTTATGCTGGGGTGTGATTGCTCCCCCGAGGAGTGACGCATGCAATATGGGTTGAACTTTGCAATCATCTGGTAGCTGAATTTTATGGGTAGATTCTCAAATACTCTCCAGATTTTTCTAGGGACCATAATACATAGGGCTTAATTTTTCATGGATCCTCCTAGCTATAGTCTTGAGCCTATAAGGCTGCAACTTCAAATACACCAAATCCCCCACACTGAATTGCACATCCCTCCTATGCTGGTTGGGGTCTGTACTTTCATGCGATTCTAGGTTTGCAAAAGGTGCTGTTGGAGATCATTTAAAACCGTATCTCTCTCACTTAGAAGCTATGAAACTGCATCAACAACAGAGTTTAAATTTTCACTTCTGAATATGTTTGGGGAATTGCTGCCATATATATGTATGTATGTATGTATGTATGTATGTATATATATATATATATATATATATATATATATATATATATATATTTGAATTGTAAGTTAGTTTGAAAAATGGAACCTGCCTTTCAAGAAAACTGATCCGCATTGAAGTATCTGGATACCTGCACTCCAATATCCGGATACTAACCCCTCCGTATCTGGATAATTCCCTGTTGATGTTAAAAGAAGAACCAAAATGAAATTCCAAGAATTTTGGAGAATCCTTGGGTCAAAATCCACTACCCATAAGTTGTTAAAATAAATTGGTTGTCCACGGTGCATAATTTCTAGTGGGGAAGATGACTCTAAATAGACGGAGTAAGAGAGGTTGAAAATCTTCTAAATAGCATCAGCTTTATAAAAGCTTAGGTACTTTTTGTGCTGTGTTTATATGACTGGAGAATCTGGCAATATTAGTTGTACCTGGTATTTGCGCTGACCCTGGTAATATAAAGGTAAATAACCAGGTGCACACGAGCTGCTACACTTCCAGGAGTCCTTGCAGTGGGCTTAAAGTTCGTTATATTCCTATTTAATTTTAGTATTAAGTTTGAGCAAATAAGTGTTTATTTCCATTTTCTATCTTGAGATTCATGCTTCAAGCATTTCCTGTACCTGACCTCTTAACTCGTCAACGATTCTTTGCTTGAAATTTTAATTGTTATGCCATGTCAATTGAGTTACGCAGACACCTATTAATAAGAAGTTCGGATAACTCTGATTAATTTGGTTCTAACTAGTAAAATTGGTTCCGGACTGACTTTATATAATCCTTGAACAACAATAATAGTGTTGTATTACTTAATTGAGCATGTGTAAAGTTGGAATCAAAATTCTATTTTCAGCGGATGTATTAGGACTAATTGTGTAAGATGGAACCATATTAAAGTTGTTTTGTGTCAAGAGAACCACTTCTGTGGAACTCTTGGATATATAGACTTGGTTACGTTAATGATTTCCATATTAAGATGGAAGTAAGTATAGTTTAGTGTATACCTGAATATCTTTTGTATGGAACACTGTTTGAATAGAAAAATTCTTGCTCATCTCATCAACTTAGGTTACAAATGGATTGCATTTTGATTCATTTATTGATCACCAACTTGCTGTCACAAGTGACCTATTGCAACCCTTGTCATTATATTGTTTTGGTTATCCCATAGTATTTAGGTACTAAGTTGTGGTTCCGATTTGAACTTAATTTGAATTTTACTGCACCATTGTGTGAGATTTCAATCCAATCGAAGTTCATGTTGATACTTATAATTTGCTCGAAGTGTAATAAAAAAAGTGTACACTGTGACTACTAATTATTGTAAAATATACGGATCTGCATTGCAGTTATTTGGCTGATAATATTCACATTAATTTTGGTTGAATTATAATCTTACATCTGTTCCTGAAAGTAACTCTGGCTTGATACCTAATAATTGTTCTAAAAGCCTGATCTTGGTTGATTCTTATGCACCTGTATTGAATTTTTTTTTTTTTGGGGGGGTGGGGATATCTTATTAATCATCTTCTCTTTGTTGTAATGGATTTTATTAATTTTTTTAAAAAAGAATGTAAGAAAGCACATCCATATGAGATATAGATATGCATTTTTTTGTCTTGTAGTTGCTCTTATGTTCTTACAAACATTTACATGCACTTGTATGTATCTGTTATTGGGAACATATTCCAAAGCTTGAAAACAAAGAACTGCTCTTGTTGAGGAACATAAAGGTTGAAACCTCCTTTGATGTCATTGATCTCTTGATTCTGTATAACTTTCTGTCTAGGAAGCGATACCTCTATGGCTTAGTTTTTGTCAAATTGCTAGTATGTGAAATTCTAATTATCAAATCAAGGTTTTGCTTATGACATGTTTATTTAGATGAACTACTAGGTCTGCTTTTTGGGCATCCTTATTCTCTAAAATGTGGTGTGCCTATGTGAGGTGCTCAAAGATGAAAGGCGCCCTTTACTTGCTAGGTTCCTTTAGTGATGTTCGATTTTGGGCACTAAATAGGTGCTCATCCCTCAAGAACTGAAATAAAGATAGCAAACAGTTGTAACATCTATAGTGGCATAAAGTTACCAATATGGTTTTTGTTGTGAATATTAGTTTATAATAGTAGTTTACTAGTCCCACATCATGTATATCTCTTTGTACTTCCTTTCTTTTCAGTTATATAATAGACTCTCCGCTGTGTAGTCAAAACACACGGATTACTCACAAACCTCTCGGGTCCTGATATTTAACATGGTATCCAGAGCCTAACGAGAGGAATTTTAATCTACGTCTGTCTGGTGGACCTACTGTTCATCGAGTAAATTTTGTCTTTTCGGAAGCTGTCACAGTGATAGTATTCCGGCCACTGTCAGCCACTGTCCTCTGTCACCGGAAAATTTCTCCGGCGACCGTTTTTGTCAAAACATACGTCAACGGACTCAGAAGGAGTCGATCTACGCAAAGCCGAAGGACCACTGTCATAGGTGGCCCCACGCTCTCTGACGCGCCACTTTCTTTTCTGCGCGTGGCCAACACGCGCCACTTTCTTTTCGGCGCGTGGCCAACACGCGCCACCTTCCTCCGGCGTGTGCGGTGTTTTCCGGCAGCCGTTCGCCGTCGACCAAGGACAGACTTGGTCGCCCAACCGTCCTCTTTCCAGATCAGCCTTCACCTCGTTCAACCGACTTCATTTGGATCAAGTTCACAGTTCGTGTCCCTTGATCGTGTTGCCTTTGTTCGTGTGCTGCTGTTTGAAGCCAGCAACAATCCTTCGTTCCTGGTTATTACTCATCGGACAACCTTGTTCTTTGTTCCTGTTCTCGGGCGAAGCGGTTCGCATTTGCTGCCATATCCAGGAGCTTGCTTGCAGTGTAGATCCACCGCTCCACATTGGTTCTGCTACTATTTCAGATCTGATCATTCACCACAGTCACAACATTAGATACAGTCACTTTTTCCATACCTGTGTGCTTTTGTTCCCAGTGTTCGATCTTGCTGCTGCATTGAGGTTCCCTTGTGACTTTGGTTCTTTATTTTACTGGTACTGTATTCTATTTTTGGACCATGGATGATTCTAGCTCATTTCCTCAATATGTTTCTCGGTCCACTATCCCTGGTTCCACGGCTACTGTTGCACATATAGGTAATACCTTTACTGGTTTCACTCAAAATTCATCCTTTGGTCATTGGGTTCTTGATTCCGGTTAATACATTCTCTTGATTGTCTCATCTCTTTTACCAAAAATTCTGTTGTTTTACAGGACCGGAGTTCGGGGAGGACAATTGGCGGCGGATTTGAGTCCAATGGCCTTTACATGCTCTCCAGCTCTTCTCATGCTCATTCGGTATTAGATTCTTCACTCACTGTTCACGCTCAGTTGGGTCATCCTAGTCTTACAAAGCTCCAAAAGATGGTGCCGCGTCTATCCAAACTGACCATTTTGCAATGTGAATCATGTCAATTCGGGAAACATACTCGCAGTTCTTTTCCTGATAAAGCCAGTCGTCATGCCTCATCTCCTTTTAGTTTGGTTCACTCTGATGTTTGGAGACCTAGTCGTACTGAGTCAACTCGGGGGTATAGATATTTTGTCACATTTATTGATGATTATTCTCGGAACACCTGGTTATTTTTACTGAAAAATCGCTCTGAGCTATTCTCAGTATTTCAGAAGTTCTATCAAGAAATTCTTACTCAATTTGGTATTTCTATCCGCCACTTTCCGTAGTGATAATGCTCGTGAGTATCTGTCTCAACCATTTCAATCATTCATGGCCTCTCATGGCATTCTTCACCACACCCCTCAACAAAATGGGGTTGCTGAAAGGAAAAACCGTCATCTCATTGAAACAGCTCGAAC